GCATCAAGTGAGAGTAGATCTTCTAAAAATACGGTTACATTACCAGGTTAGAAATCAGCACGTTAGTCATAGCATTTATCCATAGATCAGTTTTATTCTTGGATAAGGTGAAAATAATTATTTTTTTCCATTGCCTATTCCAAATGCGATTATATTTTTAGAACTTGAATTGTTCTGTAAGGCTAAAGAACTTTTGAGGGTGCCTTCCGTTGTTCAGGCTTTGTGTTGTAAGTGAGATTCACTTGGGAACCAACAGTGGAATCGTCACAGACCAAACTCCTTTAATCGCCTCATGAGAAGGCAAAGTTCATTAGCAGACACACCCTGCCTTCTCTGATCCATGATAAAATTGCAGACGTTCCAGTTTGCGCAAATCAGTTTTTGTCACCTGTTACCCTGCCATTTGCATGATACTAAGGGAACAAATACATTATTTGCCTTATAAGGCTGACTTTTCTCAGCACAGCCTTAGAAAATAGCATGCAATGGTATTTCATGTAGTGGGTGATATTATTTTGAGCCTTTCAGATTGAAACCTTACTGCATGATGACAACTGTGTACTATGCCAAGGTTCCTCATACACACAACCAAAGCCTACTGTAACCAGTGTTGTGCCTGTGACCAGGCCATTCAGAAGGAGGCTAAAGCTCTCCTACTACAGCTGTATCCTTTCATTGCGTTGAAAATGTACCTTGTATAATTGAGCTGTTAGTACAGGTTTTTTTTTGCTCGTTGTTTCCATTATGGGAAAGTGAAGTATGCGTACAACGATTCATTCTTTCATTGTTTTCTTGGTTATCTTGGGAAAAAAAAGGTTATGTTTTTTTTTTTGAATAGCTGAAAACAGCACAATTGATGACTGCAATATTATATGCCTGCTTTGAGCTGAATGCAGCCATAATGACTTTTTGAATTATGTTTGGATTACTCAGCAACTGCACTAGAAAGGCAACTGCATCAACCTTAATGTCAGCAGCCATAACTGAGAAGTGCATGGGATTTGTTGCCTGCATGCAGATGTAAGATTGCATCACTGCCTCAACTACTGTAAAGCAGTTTGTGTTCTTAGAACAATGAGAATCTGGACCACGGGGAATTCTGCTTATGCATCATGCCTTAGCCATGCACAGTACATTACAGATTTACAATCCGTTTCTTTTGTATCTGTCAGATTGCTGGATTTTTATTAATGTTCTTTCACTTAAGTGTTCAGTTTTGAGCTGAAATGTATTGCTTAAATACTATATCCGGTGCTGTAGTGCTGATCGGAATGGAAAGGATCTATTTTGAACTATTTTCATTGTTCTGTGTGCTAGCTGGTCATGGACACTAATGTGGACCAAAAGGGACAGAATTTGACTATAATCATTTAATAATTATTTTTTTTGGCTACCATGCTTCATCTTATATGCCTCTTTGGCCCTATTCTCACAGGATACTGCTTATTTCATATGCATTAAATATATGCAGACATAAATTTGACCCTGTCATCAGACATGCTGGGATGATAACAGGGCCAAGTATTAAGTTAGCAATACAGATCTGTTTGGAATGAAATGCGTATTGTAGGATTGTTCTGTGCTTCTGCTGTTGCATTGACATGTTGACTTGCTGTATACATGTACATATTCAGACATACACATGCATGTTTTCTATACACTGTTGAACAATGCCATCAGTATTCCTGAAAATGGAATGTTTAGTTTTGTTGGACTTTGGTGGTTTAGACGGTTTGCTCCAGTAGATGAGAGCAGCAATATACCCATAACCAAAGGCTGCTTCATTTTTATGCCTGTGTGGGTTTAGCAGGCCTGTGTCAGTCATAGTGGTGATCAGCACTATGTGATGACATTCTTTGATTGTGGTTCTCTATACCATTTTGTTTTTGTACACATGGAAAAAGTTGGCTTACCTTTGTTTGAGTGACTTGAGGCACTTTAACCCAGTTGCCCTTACATTTTTTAACGTGTGCGCGTTTCTCAGCATTTTATTTTTTCTACCTTTAGAACTTGTTTTTGCGTTGTTTACAGTACAAACATTAAGACTGATTTTGGGACTGGTTTTGTGTTTTTGAGCTGTTCTGTATTGAAGAACAGTGGAGTCTGTCAGGCATAATCCACTGAGCACAGCCTGTTCTCAGCAGAGGCATTAGTCTCCATTTCCAAACAGCACCATCACCTGGACGACGGTTATTTTCTACTGTACAGTCATATGGCCACCTAGTGCGTGCAACAGTTTCAACTTGCTTCACCTAATTCCACTGTGAAATCATACCTGATCCAGATCAAATCACAACTATACAACTACAAGCTTGATCATTGACTTTATATATCGATTCATATTAAAGTACTGAGTACAAAACGATGGAGACTGTGATCATGTTAGTTCGTTGTTGCCCAGGTGTCTCTAAGGAAGCAGATGTAGTCTTTGATTATTTTTTTAAGATGATGCACAAAAGGACTGAATTATAAGGGACAAGGCTTAGAACAAAATACATGACGAGCCACATTTTATTTCAAATAACGGTTAATTGGTTGCCTTAAATGACTGATGACAAGTTTCTTTCCTGCTGTTTTTTATTTTTTTTTCAAGTTTGCAAGGTCTTGCAGTTGTTATATTTGGTCTACTTTTATTTTTTCCACAATGACAAGAAAAGAGGATGTGTCATGAATTTATAATCTGTAATCTTACTGTAGAAATAAAGGCTATTTCTCTTACATGATCAGCCCTTAGTTTAATTGTATCTTGGACACTTTTAAAAATAAAGGTGCCAAAAGAGTTTTTTTTGGAGCGATGCCATAGAAAAAACATAGACGGGGGCCTGAAAAACCTTTCAGTGGATGGTTCTTCAAAGAACGATTTTTGGATGTGTGGGTGTGAAAAACCTTTTTAAAGTTTAAAGAACTTCTTCCTACCTGAGAACCTTTAAATGTATGTATTGCGCAGACTGTGTGCCATGTGATGAGCGTTTAAAATGTCCTTTTCAGTGTTGAGTTCATTATTCTCTTAGCAAGAGAGCCACCTAGTGGCCACTTAACCAAAGAGTCTCTTTAGCCCTCAAAATATTAAATTCCTTACAGTTCTCACATATTTACAAGGCATTTAAGAAACAAAAAAAATGCACCAATCAAGCAGTTGTCAAAACAATTCTTTTATAATAGTAACATTCAACTTTTTTATATATATAGATGATATTTTCTTGTTGATGGTAAGTATACAATACAACTCTCTATTCTCAATGCTTTTACAGCATTTCTGTAGACATTCAAGATTCTGAATAGCAGCATTATATGATGGACTCGAACCGTACGTTTGAGCACCACATTTCTGAAGAAGTTTCCTCTGTTTTGTCTAAGGCGGGCCATGACAAATAATTTTACAATCTTTAGGACACAACATTACCCTCTGAGAAAATGAGAACATTTCTTATACAGTATAAAATGGACTACAGCATGTTATTTGAAATAAGCTCTGTGACAGGAATGCTCAGTGACCCCTTCTTGATGCTTATACAATACGTACTTGTAGTTCAACAGCTCCACTATTCATCTGTAACACTTTTCATCCTGTCCTTGGCCATCAATCGGTTCATTTTCTGTGTCCTGTTTGCAACAGCACTTGAGAGTTTGAGTTTTGTGGGTTTATTTTCCTGATTGTCCCTGCATAACTGAAACACTATTGCACTGACAGGTTGCTACATAATACTTAAGACTGAGACCCCAGCTGTATCCCAAGAGTGCCTAATAGAACACTCACCAAACAGAAGCCCTTGAGGAGCAGTGTAATGAACTGAAATACTGAACTAAACTTAAAGGAAAAAACATCCCTCCAAAGTATTTTCCCAATTGAGGTGCAGACAAATAATAAATAACTGTATGACTCTTTCAAAACAGAGGAAACACTACAAGTACCTTATTCCCATGATGATGAATTCAGCAAGGACTGCTGAACTCTGTAATTAGATTTTAGACTGTTACGATGTGACATGAAGCAAGTTACACGTACGTCATACTGAAGGATTCTGACAGTGTTCGCCTTTCTAAAACGCAGCATAAAACAGTAGAATTATTTAAACTGAAAACAAATTCTTGAAATGGTTTTAAACATACATTTAACACATGATCAGACAAATGCACCTCAAATTAAAAGCTTACTGTTAACAACAATGGTCCACCGTTTTTCATACAAAAACTGGAGTTACGTTGTGAGATATACATATAGTCTGTCTATTCAGTGTAAAATGCGACACCGTACCTCGGATTTCAAAAGTGAAGTAAAAAAGTACACGAAAAAGGCCCTCATGTAAACATACTGAATGTCTTTGTACTGAAAATACTTTACATAGCACATCTGTACATGTGTAAGACATGCAGCCTCTGCTGTTTTCATAAACATGACATCTGATGCTGCTGGGGAGCTAAACATCTATAACACTTAAGGGTTGATCATACTTTAATACTCCTTCTTTGGTCAAGAAACTCCTCAATTCTACTCTGAGTGGCCTCTTTATCTCCATGGCTGACGACTATGAAAAGGCTTAGTGGTTTGGCCACTTCCATTTCTGTGGAAAATGCATAGGGCTTTGCAATAGATATGAAGACACCTGATTCTGTGGGTATACACCTGCATCTAATGATGACTGACATTTGTTCTTAAATCTTCACGTGCATTGATATGTTCTAGCACAAACTGAGCAGTCTGAAAAAGTTCTGTTTTAGCTCCTTGTATGTATATATAAAAGTCACAAAAGCCACGCTACCTCTTTCCAGACTCGGTTGCTCGGAATCTTCCAAAAGGATCAGGAAGCAAATGTGTTTACCGAAGCAATCTGGACTGAGGCAGGAGCGTTGGTCTTTATACACTGTGATGAATCTCCCTGATTTCAGTGAATATTTCAATAATCAGGTCATAACAGGCTAAAAACACATTTAAATAATTAAATTAATTCCCAAAAGGGTGTTATCATCCTTGCTTGTAAGAAATGTATAACTATGCTCTTTTTTCTAAGCTCATAAATTAACCCTATCAAATATCACGTTAATTAAAACATGCCCGTCATGCCTACATTGCTTACACTCGTAGCTTTTGTTCTAACCAAAGAACTGAGGTAAGAAAACTTTGATTAATGCCAAACTAGATTTGCTGTTCCTTTTAAAATGTGATCTTCGCACACCCAAATGACAAATGAGCCCCACTCCTGTTAACTCAGTATGTCATTGGATGATGAGACCTCACATTAATACTGCATTATAACGCACTACATTTTCATTTTTCATTCCTCACCGGCCTTCAATAGAAGTGACAGTGGACAGTGCTATGGCCATTTTGAGACTCTTATTGTTTCTCTATTGCTGGATGTGAGTGAGTTCTGATTAGAATGTGGCTGAGTGAGTAAGAGGAGGGTGGTCGGTCCTAGTTCTGCTAATGCCCGCAATAGTAGCACGTCCCACAGTGTGGTATGTAATATTTTACTGTGCCCTCTGTCCCTTGGAAAGTTTGTGATAAAAAGTAGAAAATCAGAGGGTTCATTTTATCCTGGAGAAGCTGCCCTGTGAAAGCTTCCCAACTGCTCAACAACTCAGAGAACAGAGCTCTCTCATATCCTTTAGATAGCTCCATCACTGTGTGCAGTGTGGTTGGGTTTATGCGCACTGGTGGAGTTCTGCTGCTGGATCAGCAGTGAAGCTGACTCGCCTCCTGGTCCGTCCTGGTGTTCAGTCAGTGTGAGTTCTATCTTAGTGAACTCGCTGTCAGTAGACTGTGGCGTCTTGTCCATGCGGGATGCCATGAGAGCGTTCTGATACTGCTGCCGGGTCACCTGCCACACAAAACAAAATCAACAGTCCTTACAAAGGTCTGCCTGCTAAACCGATCAGCCATAACATTAAAACCACCTCCTTGTTTCTACACTCATGATCCACCACCCAAATAATTCCTGCTCTATGGTGTCCTCTTGGGGTCCTGACCATTGAAGAACAGGGTGACAGGGGGCTAACAAACTATGCAGAGAAACAGATGGACTACAGTCTGTAATTGTCAAACTACAAAGTGCACTTATATGGTAAGTATAGCTGATAAAATGGGCAATGAGTGCAGATACAGGGAGGTGGTTTTAATGTTATGGCTGATCGATGATATGGTGACTCAAGTATCAAGAAGCACCCAAATATCTGTAAGACACTTAATGTTAGATTAATCATTATGATTGAAAACTGGGAATCTCAAGACTCAAACCTTAATGTAGAGCAAATCAGAGGCTGCTCTGACAGAGTAGTCCGGCACATAGATCTGCAGGAAGGCATTGAGCTGGTTGTTGCTGCTGCCGAGGGTTGGTGTGAGAGCTTCCATGCGGTCATTGCGGTTCACAGAGTCCGAGTGGTTGAGTCCAAAAGGTCGTGGAGGTGACTTATTCTCTGTGTAGCAAACAAAAAGTTCTAAGGTCATCTGCTGGTGCTGCTGTGTTGTAAACAACCAATACAGATGGCTATCATTCTGTCCTTCAGAGGACCACTGGAAGATGGAGGTATCCTCATACGTCCCCACATTGGTCTTGTGGATTATACTGCTTTGCATAACACTGAATCTAGGATTGTCTCATAGCTTAACATTAGGGACCATTTTCAAGACGTGAATAAACATAGGCTTGAACCAAATTAGGCACAAATATAGTGCAGGAGTAGCTTAATCTGTATAAAATGAGGTTTAATCTTAACATTCAAAAGATAATCAGAGCGACAGTTCTTGTAAAGTATGTTAAATTATTGAATTAAGAGCACCTGAGAAATTACCAAGTTAAGTGAAATCCAAGTAAAATGAGTGCAAGTGAAAAAAAATGGAAAGGGAAAGAGAAGAGTTTTCCAAAGGGAAGATTTTTTAATCAAAATAAGATTATGCTTTCCATGACTTAAAAAAATAGTTCAAAGAGAGTCCACAGGGAACCGTTAGAGCAGCAGTCATTCCACTGGAATGTATATAATCCCACTATCCCAGGGTCAGATGTCCATAAAATGTTTTAGATAAACAACTACTACTACTGAGTAGAATGTATGATCATTCAGTGGAAACTATAAGAATTTGCCAGACAAAAATGACAATATGTGGGATAAAGGGTTAAAACTGGAATGGAGAAAAGGCATAACTGATATCCTAATACATTTTACTGATGTTTTAAATCTAATAAATTCTAATCATAATTTAAGCACAAATATATCCTAAAGATTTAGCAAACTGGTTTTAGAAAATAATCTCTCAACCCAAGTGAGTCAATCAAGTGATACAAAGAAGGTACTTCTTACATTCTGTATTCAGAGACTGAGAGAGGGTTAGGGAAATGTACAATACATCCTGACTGAGGAGGAGAAACTGAGTTAGTGAGTGACAGAATGAAAGGAGGCAAAGGACAAGTGTGTACCTGGAGATCCCGCAAGTGACTCTGCCCTGCTCACAACGAACGTTCGAGACAAGGAGAGTGGAACTGGAGAATAAAGATGGAAGAAAAGCAAAAGGAGAAAGAAATAAAGGAAACATGAATAAATAAAGAAAAAAAACACAGAAGGGATTTTAAAGGAATCAATCATTTGCAGAGTAGTAGTGATTTAGTAGTAGTAATGAAAGATAAAATGTAGCAAAGATTTTTAATGTTTTTGAGAAGGGTCAAGCCAATCATTTGGTCACCTTCTCGTACTTCCTATATCAACATCTGCAAATTTTTGACAGCTATCTGAGAGACATTATTTGAGTTTCACCACATGGCAAGGTTATATTAACATAGTTCTAGAAATAAGTTCCTCAAAAGAAAAAAACAATGAGAGCAGCATATACCACTTATTTGAATTCAAAACAATTGATTTTTGGGATTTTTTTATTCCCATATTCATTAAAAAGTCGGATATTTGATATTTGCTGCTCTGCTTTGTGGTCAAAAATAAATCTGTCAAGTGTTTCACAAATCCTCTTTATACTAAACATATTTATTTTGATGTATGTATTTTTATATGTTTAGGTTTGAAATGCTTGTTTGGTTCTAACAACAAAAATTATATTGAATTAATTCTGTTTGGATAAATTTACCAGACTTTTCTAAAAAGTGTTACAACTAGACCCTCAGTCTGTTACACCTGATACTAACTATGGGGTAAACTGTAAATAAGTAAGTACTTATCTTGTTCGAATATACATTTTTTTTGTTCAAATACATATATTTTAAATATTTAGCAAAAAGCAAAATGTGTTAGCTTGTGCCCCACTCTCTCCTACATCATTAGCAATGTAAGAGCAATGAAAGCTCTACCAAAAAATACCAACAGGACTGAAAATAAGTGATTGGAGACAAACATGCACAATTTTTATACACAGAAATCACATAACACAACAGACCCCGCTCCCATCCCCCACACACACACCCCCACAAGGGCTGGTCAAAGCATTCATTTTACCAAGTTTAATTTGACCAAAGCCAGCTTCTTGCAGGGCTGTGGCTAAAAGCTCAGTGCTTGACAGTAGAAATGTATACACAATCAGCTGACTCAGCTGTCAGCAGGACTGAATGGCAGGTGTAGGAGATTGTGTCTAAAACTGCCAGGCAGAGTTCTAGTCCAGAAGGCATTAGAGGAGAAGCGAGGAGTCAGCACCACCTCAGCTCACGAGCAGTGCTTGTGTTGTGTGTGTTTGTGTTGCTCCATTACACAGACCTGGTGATGATGTTAAGGCCATCATTCCATAATAGGAAAATGGCCCTGCTTTAAACTTCATCCCCTCCTTGCCAGCCTCAACCTCCACCTTCCCCTGAGGATGAAAAGGAGGAGTTTTAGAGTAATAAAGTACAAATTCAACTCTTAGAAGTCGAGAGTTATCACTGTCACTTCCCTGGCTTATATAAATGCAATTACACAATAACATGGTTGATTACATAGTTATTTCATTTACATTCTGTAACTCGTTCAAGACTTTTACATTTTTACACTTTCACATTTTTACATTTGCTTTGATGTCAACAAACGGCACGCAGTATCCTTCTGCAAAACACTGCAGTAGGCACAGTATCTTTTGCTCAAATTTACATCATGTAAATCATCATCACCTCACAAACCTGGTATTGATTAAAAGCTTATAACCTGCATATTACACCACCCGTTTCAGCTATGAGTGAGAAATAATTAATACTAAATTACAACATGTTTTTGTTATCGCTGGTCTAAACAGCATGTGTCTCATGTTTAAGGTAATTAAGGTTGGTCCTAAAAACATTTCTCTCACCTGCTATAATCAACTAGCTTTTCTGGAGAAAGAAAAGAATGTGTTAAAAATGCTGAGCTTGGTGCTTTGTAAGCTACATCTGAGAACAGAGCTCAGTCTGGTCAGTTTGTAAAGTCATATGGCTTAGTTGAATGTACAGTTCAGGGAGTTCAATAGTTAATCTGCCTTTAGGGCTGCATACTACATTATCCTATACAGGGAATGAATCAGACAAAGCACTTACAACTAGACTGAGTTCATCCAGAATACTTGGCCTACTCAGTGTACAGTTTGCCAACTTGGGTATGAGCCTATGAAAGTATTTGTTTTCTCTATATGTAAATATATAAGATTAGTCTTGCAACAGGTACAATGTTTTGCCATCATAGCACATTTTTTGTTTTTTTTTGACACTATTTGAAAATGCCAGCTGCCTTTTTGTGAACATTTCATGATGTATGGACAAACAGAAATTTTGAAAAGCAGATATTAGCATGAAGATCGATTTTTCCTTTTCCTGTGAAGTCACTGTTTCAGAGATAGGAGGTTTTCTTGCAACAGCAAAAATCACAGTGCTTGTATGCATGAAAGGCCACATTGTGATAAGGACTAAATGTCTCTAGCGGCACTAATATGTGGTAATCACACCCTACATTCTAGCACTTATATGGTGGTTACTTTCAATCCTGACTGGAAGGTTATTATTATTATCATTAATAATTTAGACTATTATTTTTAGTAAAATAAAAGAGAATCAAACACAAAACCTGTTATTTTTCGATTAGTGGATAACACAAGTCATACTGACACTAAACAATTTCAAGAACGACAACAACTGTTTTTATGATTATTTCTGATTATTCCAACACATTAAAAGTGTGATGGGGCAAAAACACAAGAAAAAGAAATGAAGGGCCAAATCATAGAGCAACTGCTAAATCCAACACAAAAAGTAATGATTATTACTACAGGAGAATGTGTCAGCCTAGGTTAGTTTATAGTCAGCAATTCAGCCAAAAAGTCGCTGCTGTCAGAACAAAACCTCGTATCTCCAAAACGATAACTTTACAGGATAAGGAAAAACATACTTTACTTTTAATGTAAGTGGAACCAGACTTTTTTCAGAGTAGTTTTGGGCCATTTCGTTTGGTCCATTCATCATGAACTTCACCCACAATGTAAAGGACAACAGGCATTTTCAAACTATATCAAAAACTGAAAAACAACAAAAATGGAGATACGAGGTTTTGTTACAACCTATATCATATATATATTATATATATATATATATATATATATATAAAACATTTGGTGTCAATATCTCACCCCAAAAACTGTTTCCACCAATTCATTCGACTTTGACTAAATCACCTGTCACAATGTCTCCACGTATTCCCCCCATTAAATTGTAGATTATGCATTGAATGCTATGACACAGTGCACGGTGCTGACCTGTAGGATGAGGATGAAGTAATCCACAGGCTTGTTGCGATGAAAGAGATAATGCTCTAACATTTTCTTGTTCTTGTCATCATATTTGAGCTCTTGGATGACGTTGGGATGTTTGAGCAAGCGCAGGAGGATTTTCTCTGACATTTGAGCAGGTCCAAACGGCTCTACCTCTAGAACAGAAAGGAAAAGGAGAGGTGAAGAACATGAATCAATCTGTGATTGCTTTCCTAATCAAGAGCACACACCAATCAGACGTCAGTACCAGTTGCTAGGAACCGCAGGGTCGCCAGGAGAAGCTGTGGTGATATTTTGATCCCAAGATCGTTGTCTGTTGGCTTGAAAACAGAGAAATCTTGCTTCCTCTCCCGATGAGCTATCTTCTTTTTCGTCTTGTTGTCAGCTTTTACCAAAACAAATGGAAAGACTGTGTTACAAAATCTATATACATTCGTAATGCAATACGGTATGCATTATGTTTTAGGTTCATAAACTGCAATAACACTACGCAAGTCAAAGCTGTAAAGACGTACTGTACAAATCAGTCTCATCCAGAATCTCAGACTTAATGATCTCCTCAATGACATCCTCTAATGTGACAATGCCCAGAACCTCATAGAAAGGGTCTCCCTCCCCTTCATTGTTCACTCGCTGGACAATAGCCAGATGGGATTTACCTGCCAAATCAAACAAACACACACAAATGTTAGATGCATACGGTATACACATGGGAATCCGCTCTGTGGCATGAAATTTGGCAATGTTGAGTCCAAACCAAACACTGCGATTCACGTACGCTCTGGACCTCTTTACACAAACTAATATTGGGGTAAAAATGCTTGCTGAAAGCATTCTTTGCCCCTGACTTGTGAGAAAGGATGAAACTGATGATAACCAAGAAATTGGTCAAACAAAATGCTCTTGGATTTAGTCAGACAACAATCCATTACATTTTCTTAACAAATCTCCCATGCTTCCACATCTGTTTTCTCAGGACCCCCTCAATAAGCTGCTTAAAAAATTCCTGCCCAGTACTGTCAACCAAAACGTTAAAGAAAATTCTTTTCCTGTTTCTCAGCTAGTGATCATTTAAAAGGAATTTTCCAGAGCCAGAGCTAATATTAGACCTGAAATGAAGTTTCCACTGCAGTTGGGCGATGCTCTCACCGACGTGACAATGGGACAACCAGAGTGCCCACGTGAAGTTTCTGCAAATGACACTACCAATTAAGGCAAACATTCATGCTTGTTTTAAGTTCACTTATATTGAGAAATCTAAGCAACCAAACAGGCTTTAGCCTGTAACAACTGTCAGTTTACCTTTAAACCCTGTGTTTTTTACGTATCTGAAGGTTTAAAGAGCATATGTAAATTAAGTTCTTCTGAGAAACTTTCAGGAATGGTGGAGCTCTTGACCACGATATACGTAGGATCTCATGTACAGGACAAGCTCAGACCTCCTAGGACTACAAAGAGAGAGAAAGAGAAAAGAGACATTCAAGACTCCAGCAAAGAGGGAACATTGTTCCTCAGCTCCATAAAATGCCCACACAGTGTCGCATAGGTTTTTGGGGCTATTTATGCATCAAAGTCACAATTGAAGTTTGAGCACTTGCAGTTGCATGTAACTGTTCTTCTATAGGCTGACCAACAATATGGCATGTTGAGATTATACAAAGCTGGTGTGGTGCATAATGAGAAAATATAACCAACATAGGAAGACACACCTTCTAAGAATCATAACACGCCTGAACCACAAAAAATTAAAAGGGATCGGGTGTCCAAGCTTTTTAAGATGTCAAACATAAAGATAAAATATAATACACCTGCTGGCTATTTACAACGTCTTGGCTGTCTCATAAGAACTGTGACACAGACCTTTAGTATGAAACAGTTTCACACAGCACAACTATCATCAATCAAAACTAGGCTACTACACAGGAGAATGTGACAGAGAATCAGCCTCTGTTTTAAGACCCTGCCCTTCAGACTACACACTCTTACACGATCTGCCCATTCCCACCTTATTTATGGAATGGGATTTTACTCAGATTTTTTCCATAATGGAATTTCTTTATAAATAGCCAGGGGGACTGTGGGTGGCGAGTCTGTGATGCCTCACTGGAATATTTTTCATGTCGCAAACATAAATTAAGGCAATGGGAAATGTGTCTGTCCCTTTTATAAAGACTAGAAAGGTCCTTAAGAGGACAGAAAAAATTCATCAGAGAAAAGGGCAAAGAAACAGGCGCTGTGTTCAAATTTGAAGACTTTTAGAAAACTTGTGAAAGGTTGCATCGATTCCTTTTTCAAATGTTAACATTTTTATCTTTATCTGGATTCTTTTATAGGGAAAGTAATGTAATTTCTAACTAATTTCACTGCAATATTATTGTTAGTGATTAATACATACATTAATATGCATTAAATCTTTCTTAAATTGAGAAAATGTCAATGTCAACTGTGAAATGTCAATACAGCAATAAGACCTTATAAATTAAAACAATTACTGTTGTAATCTCCGTACAGTAATGGTCAGTCTTCTCACACACACACACACACACACTTCACAGTTAGAGTACACATAATAAACTGCTTGAGACAAATTGATTAAACAAGTGAAATCAGATGTGCTTGTTTTGAATGTAAATCTACAGCCACACCAGCTGTTTGCAGATAAGCCTGGACACTCCTGGTGTAAGGACAAGTAAATGTCCAGCCATAATGAGACCCACAAAGTGGAGTACTATGGTAAACTGCGTTAAGAGAAGCTTGATCTATGACTTTTGTATAAACATCACCATAGTCTTGAGAGATGTAACAAACAGACAGCGATATATAATGTCTCTTTTGGAACAAAACCTTGGATCTAAAAAAGCTTTTAGAAAAATGAAAAAAAAAAACTTTTAATGTTAGATAATGTAATAAAATAATCTGTAAAACTATTTTGAGCCATTTCTACTGGTCCATTCATCAATGAAAATAGTGTTCAAATGACGTTAAAAAAGAAAAACATCAAAAATGGAAACACAAAGTCTTGTTCTGACAGATTTTGTACTTTGGAAATCTAATAAAAGTAACATTTATAAAAGATCCAACAGAGCATTTTCATTAAACTGAAAACAATTCATCAAATCGTCAACCTCAAGTCTGGATCCCAACTCTTCTGCATGTAGAATAAAAAAAAAAAACTAGCGGCAGCTTACAAGCCCCACTTAGACTTAGCAGATTTCAGCTTTACTGGCAAGCTATATGATGTAGAATTAAATGGATTGTTAAAAAGAATTTTAGCACACACAGTAAAGAACAATTCTCGACAGAGTATTACTGAGCAGCATAACGTGTGACTGATACTTTATTAATCCCCAAGTATAAAAGTGCTGCTCATTAACGACTTCAAATATACTTGACTGGAAATTGGTGTGTTGAACTTGTTTACATCATGATTCATGTAAAATCTGCCAATTGTGTCTCAGTTTGTGAACATAAATAGCCATTAACCCTGTAAATTCCCAGCCCCGCTTACAGGATTACACATTCCAACATGGCAACATTCTGTAAGCAAATACCCTTCATTCCTGGAAAGAATTTTTTAAATTAATACCACAGCAGACAAATATGTCCAATATCAAAGCTGTGTATACAACCAAACATGACTAACCCCAGAATTAAAAAAGAAAAGGAGAAGAAGAAAAATGTGGAAAAAAATCTTATATTAATATACGATACAGTTGTGGAGAACCTAAAGGAGCGTATGCTGGCCCACCAGAGAAAAGTAGTTGCCCCTGCACTCTGGCACATGTAGGGCTGCTTTGGCCCACAGAGCATCTCCCGTCTATTGTTTTCAGTAAACACAAGTTGAAAGGTATGCAGAGTCACGACAAACACAGAGGGAAATGCTTATGTGGGTGACGGTAAGTCCTTTACACAGGAGATGTGGGGCCTTCTAAGACAGGCTTTGTTGATGGACTCGAGTTTGACATTGTAGAACATGCACATGCCGATTGTTACCCAAATCTGTTTAAGTCCATTTCCTGTCGGGCCACCACTTGTGGAATGCTGGACTGATTTAAAAGCCAGCCTACCAGTCCGAGTCCACTACCGGACAAATATATGTATAAGTAACAGAAATATAGGTAACTATAAAGCAACTAATAAAACACGTTACACATCATGATAAAATAATGAAGCAAACAAAACACCAACAAAAAGGATCTAAAAGAGACTGACAGACCTCTGGAACATCGCTCATTCTTACCCATCTCCTGAACCTGAAATGGCAGCTGTATGAAATGTAAATAAAACCATTGCTGAGGCTTCATAAGGAGCACTTTTTCTTAGCTTTAGAATAGGCAATGAGCACCACCAGTTACCAGTTACCAACTTCCTGCTACGATGCAGACCATTCTTCCTCTGCTCTGTGAAGGCTATCATTATTTCATTAATCATAAAATCTAAAGCACTGGAACTCAAAATGCTTAGCTGTTGTGCTAAGAATTTCTAGTTCCAAAAATTTCCAAAAAGAAACTTCCATTATTTTCATATGCACTGTGACATCTAAAGGAGGTCTGTGGGAGAAGCTGATGGCATTTACTGTAAGTAATTAATACTCTAGTGTACTGTACTTTGAATTCAAGAGGGAGAAATGTAATGTTAAATAATGTAAAAATATAGTGTAATTTCTAGTAAGCCTGCTGATGAATGCAGATTTATTGCATTCTTGATGGAGAGAATCAATCCTAGAAATATTAGAAATCACATGGTTATGGCAGCAAGCGCGCAGACTGTAAACTTTTCACAATTTAAATACTGACTCAATATTTAAGGCACCAAAAGCACTTGCTTCGCTTGCTTTATAGCTATGTCTTACTAGGAGGGTAAGTTAGACTTGCTGTTACTATGGAATCCATTGCTGTCAGATGTCGGACAACAAGAAAACCAAAAAAGTGTCCCTGCAAGAAAAAATGGGTCATTATGAACATAAAGCTACAAAACAATTATTAAAAAAGCGAAGCAAGATCAGTAACAACAAACAGCGTAGTAGATGATAGAAGACTACTAGACTGAATGACTAAAGAGTACTATCAGTTGCAGAATATCAAAGGCCACCATGTGCCAAAACCTCAGAGCACACAAAAAGACTCAAAACACTGGTAAACAAGTCTTAAGAACACAGAACAAGTCTTAAATAAAGAAGCCTAAAACTTTGTCCAGTACCAGAGTGAAGAAAAATGGAAAATGTGAGAAAAAAGGAACTGCCTTTCACCACAACCACTTAATCTATGAAACACACTGTACACAGTGATACATCCTCATCATGTATGGCCTCTACTCTAACTGGCTCGTTTATCCTCATTAATGATATGACTGCTGATATGTGTGCTGACAGGAGCAGCAGGATAAATTCTTAAGTCCCTGGAAAAATGCATTCTGCTCTGATGCAACCAAATTAGTCAAAATTAATTGGACAGTGCTTCATGACATAGTAACCTGCAGTTAAGACTAACTTGTGCATATGCTCACTGGTAATAAACATGTTGTAAATTTCTGGCTAAATAATAATAATAATAATAACAATAGTAATAATAATAAGCAGAAAGTTCAGGGTTTGTATGTATTGTACTTTCTAAATCTATCCAACATGGCTGAAACTACTTTCACTACCTTTAGGTTCAGTGTCAATAGCTGTAGTCATCTGAAATGAAAATGTGAAGCTACTATCTTGCCTTCTGAGTTCACTGTATGGCTGAATAAGACATGGATGTTTCTCTCTGAGACTGAATGAGGTACAGCATTGTATCGTGCACATGTTGCAGTTGTGCCAGTCCATGCAGCTACATCATTCTTCCCAACAGGATGTGGCAGCAAAGTAGAGAAGAACCCATACCACAGACAACAGAAAACAAAAAGAGTTTTAAGGAACTGGACCATCATTCACATTCAATACCAACACAGCATTCTAACCATTCTTCAAATTTGAGACTAATGTGACTTATTTCAATTTTACTTCTATTTTTGGGGTGTGTGATGTTCACATCTGAATGCATATAACATCAAAGATCATCTATGTCATTGTACCAGTATGTCAAACAACACTACAGTAATGTTCTTCTAAAGAAGTTGTAGTCCTGAACACATAAAATTCATGCACCACAGGTGGATCAAAAGCTTCTCTTTAGTCGTCCATCAGAAATGGATATTAATTGATCTCTCATCTCTCTCAAGCTAAATTACTTTTACCTTTCTTGAACTCCTCCAGCATGGCATCCAGCTTAGTATCATTGAAGACAAAATGCAAAGGGTGGCTGTAGAACTTGGTGATGGTTTTCAGTGGGGTGCAGTCATCTGGATCCACAAACGCCAAGTCCTTCACAAACAGCAGATCGACTATGTTACACCTCTCTCCTTCAAAAACCGGGATGCGAGTGTAGCCACTCTCCATGATCTCAGACATGGTGTTGAAGTCCAGGATGGCATCAGCGGTGATCATGAAGCAGTCACGAAGAGGGGTCATCACATCCTCCACGGTTTTAGTCCTCAGCTCCAGAGCTCCCTGGATGATATTGAGCTCCTCTTTCACCAAGTCATTATATGGGTCTGTAACCCTGAGCATCTCAAGAAGCTTCTCTCGGTTATACACGGTCCCGATCTCCTGCCCCAGCACGTGGTCCAAAAGCTTACTGACTGGATAAGAAGCAGGAAAAGTAAGGATCATAAAGAACTTAGTCAAGAATATGGTGTTTGCCCCAACAGCAAGCCCATGTCTCGAACAGATGGCCTGTGGCACGATCTCTCCGAATATGACAATCCCAATGGTGGACACCACCACCGCAATCAAGCCAGACCCTGCAATGTCGTCCAGCAGAATGGTCAGAGTGGTGTTCACGAGAACGTTTCCCAAAAGAAGGGAACACAGAAGGTAGTTTCCCTGACTTCGCACAGGCTCGATCTTCTTGGCGTAGTTCTTCTCCCTCTCCGTCCCGCAGTTCTGGACGATCCTGAGCTCCATGGGGTCCAGTGCCATGAGTCCCAGGTTGAGGCCGCTGAACATGCCGGACAGGCACAGTAGCATGGCAATGAAGATCACCTGCAGCCAGAAGGGCAGCAGGAACTTCTTCTCCTCCACCACCAGCACCTTGGTGTCGTGGCCGTCGTGGTACACCCAGCTGCTCTCTGGACGCGCGTCGTCGTCCTGCGTGGCGATGCACAGGTAGTACACCTTGCTCTTCTCGGTCTTGCGCAGCGGCTTCACGTCGATCTCGATCACGCCGGACGTCCTGCGGTTCACTTCCACGTTCGGAAGGATGATGATGTCGCTCGAGCGGATGCCGCAGGGGTGCAAACCGGGCGCGTAACCGTAGCTGTCGGCGGCGCGCTCGTGCTCCGTGAACGCGATCTTGGACCAAGTCTCGTTGTTGATGTTTTGCCCGTAAACGCGCAGCTTGACGCGCGAGCGCTCGCTTACGCGCAGGTAGCCCCTGTCCATAAACGACACGTCGTCCGTGTCCTCCAGCCTGAGGCCGATGATGACGGTCTCCTCCTCCATCGCCACCTCTCTGGCGTGAAAGCAGCGCGCGGGACAGGCGCTGACCACCAGGAACACGAGAGTCAATGAGCGGACCGGGCTGAGCGCCGCCATGTTAGAAGTGGGCAACGCGGACCACCGCTTTGCCATGTTGACAGTGGGCACGTTCAGGCTGAATCTGCATCAGAGAGGAGCGCAGACAGCCTTCCTCATCCTCGCTCTGGCCTGGCTTAGCACAAGTGATAAGGCTGACATTCCTCACCGTGCCTCACTGGCTCTTGCGACGCGATGACACACCAGCGCGCTCTAATGTGAGCCCTGCAGCTGGTGGTCAGCTTCAGATGCCTGCTGACGGACACTCCAGAGGACCAATCCAGAGGAGAAAGACCCGCTCGGGTGGGAATAACGCACGGCCACAACAAATGGCGCGGCTCAGAAGGGCTTAAAGCGAGGCGGGTCTAAGCTGGGAAATTGCATTGAGAAATTTTTAATGGCCAATCAGTGGTCAGGATGGGAGGCCCAAAAATCGGGGAGCGGTTTTCTGCAGCCAACGGTGTAGTATTATTATACTCGTCACGATATGTCTGACAATTTAATTGAATTAAACACGGTGGGTGTGTCCTGCTGAAATACAGAATGTCTGGGCACTGACAGATTTAATCAGACTCAGTAATAATAAATAATAAAACTAAATCCTTAATAATTTGAATAAAAGCTGCCTGAAGCCCTGTAGTTCTGTAGTTTTCAAGCATGATTTTTCCCCATTCCAACCAGATTTTCTTATAAATACACACACACACAAATATATATATATATATATATATATATATATATATATATATTTGTATTTGTGTGTGTTATACGGTAATCTTGTTGAAATGGATAAACACACTTGAAAACTACAGAACTACAGCTGTGTTTGAGTAACGGAGACTCTACACAGATGAGAAATAAAAGGAAAGGGCTTCACGCATAATTTAAGGTGGGTGAATTTTTATGTTATTTTCCTACAACAGGACTTTGTTTGGAACTGAAATGACAATGATAAAGAATGGAGCTTTAGCTGTTCCCATCCATTTTGAATTAACAAAGCAAAGACAGCATACAGTGGTTTAGAAATAACCGTAAACTCTCTGCAGTACCTGCTACCTTGACTTTTTGGCCTCCAGGCAAGGGTTAAGCAGATATTCGATCAGTATATGTAATATAATGCAATACAAATGTTATGCACAAAGGAATCATTTATGTACAAATTTAATTCAAACAAATACATTTCTACAGAAATGCATGCCACAAATATCAGACACTTGCTTACAAAAAAAAAACAAAAAACAAGTAATCGCAATGGCTGACAAAGTTTCAAATATCTTTCCTCTGCTTTCCTGGAACAGCGCACACTGTCCTTGAGTACTGATAAAGATGTTCAGAGGCAGGGCAAACATTCTCTCGAGCAGCAAATTCCAAACCATGGATTTAACAATTGTGAAACTAAACATTTTATAACATCATAATCTTTCTTACTCTTATATAACACAAACATTAAGTGTTGGCCGTACTGAACCAAGATTACTCAAGTTAGTTAAAAAAGGTTTTTCAATTGTGAATCACCAATGACATTATAATTTTGTCCAAGACTAGACCTCTTCCATGTTCACAAACTGTTCAAAGTCACATCGTAACAGCAGTCACTGACCAACTATTTTTGCTATAGTACTTCTTGAATTTCTGCAACTTTTTCTCCCTAACATAATTTGTCAAATTTGTGGACATTGTACAAAAACAGAATAAATATACTTCTAGACATACAGCTGTAGTAACACCTTTGTACCACCTGGGACCGTCATACTCCTTCATAATTTTTTTCCTACATAAAAATGTGGGATAAACATGAGGACACAATGAATTCCTCTGTTTGCAGGTCTTACTGGTTGTTTGTGTCTAAAACCCTGAGCACAAATAGCTTGCAAGATAAGTGAGAACATTGTGGAATCCAAAGCTTCCTGGGAGTGATGATCGAGGCTACAGTCTAGGACAGACATCTGCTTGACCTTGCTGAGATTCTGATATATCACACATCCCAATTTCCCCTCTGTAAAGAGTATGTGGCTGAATCCTACAATTTGTATACAAAAGACCAATTTATTTATTCCTCAAAGTAAAAAAGGCAAATAAATTGAAGTAAATATGCAGTAGATTGTTCATGCACACTTTTTTCTTTAAGGCAGGGTAATTGAACACTGACACTAGTCCTTCATCCAGTCCTTGATAAAAGTGGCATGCTCCAATTTAACTGGCAACAGTGTAAAATTATATTTAAAATCATAAACATAATAACTGAACACAATCAAATAACATTGGATGAGACTATGTCTCAATAACATGAGGCCTATCTAGGGGCTCACCTGATCCCTCCCTTAAGAGAGCAACTGTGAATGCTCTGCACAATATCTGGCCACTTAATGAAAAGTGATAAAAGAAACAAACCAAATCTCCTAGAGGAGATCAACATCATAGCCTGGTTATTTAAGCAAATGTCTTAGCTGGTCCTGAAGGTTTTTGGAGTGTTCCACACTGTGAAAAGAATAAGGAAGGACAGATATGGTCATTGGTTGCTGTGGCTTTAAATTACATAAAGCAGTCAGAATAACTGAGCAGTGTGCCTGTTTTGACTTACTTCTTTTGGATGGCTTCTTGCCTTAATGAAAGAACATATAAGACAATATTAATGCACGTAGAGACTTCCACTGCACTGTACATAGAATGTCAGCAGTTATTTTATCAACAAAATTAAATCGCTGTTGTTGGAACAAAACCTTGTATCTCCAAAATTGTAACTTTACAGGAGAAGGAAAAAAACTACTTTACTTTTAATGTAAGTCAATGGAACCAGACTTTTTTCCAAGTCATTTTGGGTCATTTCTGTTGGTCCATTCATCATGAAATGCACACACAACATAAAGGGCAACAGGCAATTTCAAAATATGTCAAAACCTAAAAAACTACAAAAATAGAGATACAAGGTTTTCTTCCAACAACAGCGAAATATAAATGAGAAGTACTGTAGATATACTCACTGATACTGCAAATGAGTAGTTATTATGGACATCTTCCTCAGACTCTATAATGCAAATTAATATTCCACATCTGACAAAGTGTTCACATTTGGTATTTCTGTGCAAATGACATACTGGGTTTACCAAAGGAATAAAAAGTAAGTATAAAAAAAGTCCTTACATCTTCAGAGTGCAGAATAGCGTCCTCCTGAATGACCATATTTCTGGCCGCCTGGCCGAGCAGCTGAAAATCACAACCGACATTACAGTGTCAAACTGCAGATCAAGAAAACTGCCCCCTGGTTAGCTAACTAGGTTAGCTAACTTAACTAGCTAATGTTCTTAATTTGTAGTTTAACGTAACGTCAAATGTAATCTATATACCAGTTCATAAGTATTACAGTGCTTTAGTAGCTTGTCAAAAAGCTTTCTCTTCGTAATGCAAAGACTTCAACAAACAAATAGAGGAAGCTAGTCAGCTAAGCTAGCTAGCTAGCATGAGTAATAAAGAAAACGTCGCGTTTTGCTGCTGTTGGAATTTTAACATTTACCTCTTGGCTACGAGAACCTTTTAAAACCTGTCGAGTAAGGGCGATTACATCTCCGCTGCAACAGCCCACTTTATCAGACAGCAGACCTTTAACAGACTGACCAAAGCGGGGCTGCGCTTCTGAGGAAGCCATGGCTACGCTACGGAGCGACCCGAGGGACAAATAACACGAGCGGCCAAACAGGGGCCGTTTCTCAATGTGTGTGTGTGTGTGTGTGTATATGTGTGTGTGTGCGTGTGTGTGTGTGTGTGTGTGTGTGTGTGTGTGTGTGTATGTATGTGTATATACGTGTGTGTGTGTGTTTGTTCTTAAATTTATTTTGGAAAAAAATGAGACGAGAAACAGACATTAAAGTAAATCTTTGCTCCCTGATACAAATAATACCTAATATGAAAGTTTGTTCTGACGATTCGTTAGGACGAGGATCAGTTTAGATTAACAGCCCAGTTAGCAAAATTTGTTTGTCCACTTGTGGACCACATTCTTGGTTTGTTCTGGCCTGGTATACGGCTGGGCCTTCAGCCCAGGCCTGGCCCACACAATGTAAAGTGAGTAGAAGTAAAGGATATGGCCCAAATCTACCAACAGCTACTGTTTTGGTGCCCACAACATTGTCACAACGTTGAAATGTAACTCCTCAGAAAGTTGTGACCAAAAGTATGTTAGTTCAACCCCATTTCCAAAAAAGTTGGGACGCTGTGCAAAATGTAAATAAAAACAAAATACAATGATGTGCAAATCATTTAAACCCTATATTTTATTGAAAATAGTACAAAGACCACATTTAAAATGTTGAAACTGAGAAAGTTTATTGTTTTTTGAAAAATATATGCCCATTTTGAATTTTATGTCAGCAACCCATTCTAAAAAAGTTTGGACAGGGGCAACCAAAGGCTGGTAAAGTTGTGTAATTCTGTAATGCTAAGAAACACCTGGTGGTTAATTGGCAACAGGTCAGTAACATGAACAAAAATCATCCCAGAGAGGCTGAGTCTTTCAGAAGTAAAGACGTCCTCCAAGATGTTCACCATTCATCATCTACAGTACATAATAACATTAAAAGATTCAGAGAATCTGGTGAAATCTCTGTATGCAAGGGACAAGGCCAAAAACCAGTATTTGCTTGCTGCGATCTTTGGGCCTTCAGGTGGCACTGCATTAAAAACAGGCATGATTCTATAGAGGAAATCACTTTATGGGCTCAGGAACACTTCTGAAAACCACAGTCTGTGAGAACAGTTTGTTGCTGCATCCACAAATGTAGGTTAAATAAAGAAAAGAATAAATCATATATGAACAGGATCCAGAAACAAGAATAATAAACGACTGTGTTCACAGTTTTAAGTGACACAGAATTGTAAGCAACATTATTAACTACAAGGGATGATATAACCACAATTACGTATATTTAAAATAAGTTTATCTGCAATGAAATCATTGATTAGATTCCATAAATTCTGGATCAAGCTTCGATACTGGCCTGTAACTATTCAAAAACTACTATTTATTTTGTTATAAAGCAACATAAGTTGCTCCCTAAACTTCAATAACATTATTAGTCTTCTGTCTCTAAAAACATATGAAACAGAAAATTCACAAGCATCTGGAACAGACTGAATGTTTTGTCATTGAAAAATTACGTTATGAAACATTCAGTCCATTGCAGTGTTTGTAAGTGGCTGTGCAACTGCTGGCACATGCATTCTTTTGGTTTCAAATTGACATTGACTGTTAAAGATTGCTGAGCTGAAACTATTTTAAGGTCAAGGAGGTGGCATTGAAGAAGTCATATAAAAATCCCTCTTCAGATGTCTCAGAGCATGTGCAGTACCAGGCACTATACTGCTAGATACAGACCTGGCTGAGATACTGAATAGCTTCCAGACATTTCAGGATGGCATGGCTTTTTTGTTCCTGTGTATTTGCTGCAGTAATCATTGTGGTTCTTTACCTGAAGAGGAAAATGCAGGTGTTTCTGGCAGACGATAGAAGCCCTCCAAGCCTCCCTTCTCTCCCTGTTATCGGGAGCCTTCTGAGCCTAAAGAGTGACAGCCCTCCACACATTTTCTTTCAGCAGCTGCAGAAGAAATACGGGGATATATATTCGCTTATGATGGGCTCCCATAAAGTTATCATCGTCAACAATTATCACCATGCAAAAGAGGTCCTGCTTAGGAAAGGGAAAATATTTGCAGGGAGACCACGGACTGTAAGTAGACTTTATTAGTCTGGGTTTTATACACTTATAAAAATGAAAGTGCCTAAAAAGGTTATTTGTGGCAAAGGAATAGAAGAACAGTTTTTGGCTCCTTAAAGAACCTTTCAGTAAATCAGTATTAAAGTTTTGGAAATGAGATGTTTTAGTGTGAAGAACCTTTTAAATTTAAAGCTTCTATACAAGTTACAAGTATTTCCTTAAGCTAAGAACCATTTAGGAACCTTTATATTTAAGAGTGTAACAAAAATGCTCAGTTCTACTGCTGACCACAGCAGAGGGTCAGTGGCCATTACCATACAAAGCTACTGCAGAGCTCCAGTACATTATCTAATGTTTAAAATAATTCTTAAAAGAAGTTTCACTCCTTTAAGGTTACTACAGACATCTTAACACGAGATGGGAAAGACATAGCATTTGCTGACTACAGTGCCACATGGAGGTTCCATCGGAAAATTGTGCATGGAGCCCTGTGCATGTTTGGAGAGGGAGCTGTGTCTATCGAGAAAATAAGTGAGTATGAAGCATCTCACATGAAAGCATCTTAATGCAAATATTATTTTTATAATTCAGACTGAACACTCTCTCTATGTGATAAGATGAAGCATTTGGGAAACTGGGCCCTTAACAGTTCTTGTGCCGCCACATTGTATTCGCAAAAAAACATATTTATGTTCTTGAGAAGTTAGTAAAATTATGAAATCACACAATCATCATCTCTCTCCACTCTACTCTTTGTGTTCTCCACTCATTTCTTCCTTGCAGTTTGCAGAGAGGCGAGCTCTATGTGTGAGGTTCTGACTGAATTGCAGAACACTGCAGTGGACATGGCCCCTGAGTTGACCCGCGCAGTCACAAACGTGGTGTGTGCCCTGTGCTTCAGCTCCTCATACAAGCGTGGAGATCCTGAGTTCGAAGCTATGCTCCAGTACAGCCAGGGCATTGTGGATACGGTTGCCAAGGACAGTTTGGTGGACATTTTCCCATGGCTGCAGGTGAAGACCATAGATTAAATATTAGGGGTGTAAATCACAGACCTCAATTAAGTGCACAAATTTCACCACAATAATATTTGATTATTTTTGTTCAATTCAGACAAAAAACACTTAAGATGCAGAAACTATTTACACAGTAGTAAAGTATCTACAACAAATACAATAAACCAACCTTTTTGTGTTTGAAAATATCTGGTACATATTTTATTGAATAATAATAATAATAATATGATATAATCAGTGGTATATGATTATATATATTATATATGATTAATACCACCTTTATTAGAGAAATAAAAACCTGTTTATTGTACATCACATCTAAAATAACCTAATTAAAAATAAATATTTATTACAAAAAGGCAAATGATACCATAAAAAGCTAAAGTAAAAACTCATGTTTTAGGCTATTTTTTAAGCTGCAAACTGAAGATGCTTGTTGTGTGTCTTGTGGGAGGGAGGTTCATAGTTTAGGAGCTTTCATGCTAAATGTAGCTTCACCACTTCTTGTTATATTTTTATATTATTATTATTATTATTATTATCATTAATAATAATAATAATAATAATAATAATAGATTATATCAATATCACCAAGCACTGGTGCAGTTCACATCCATATTACATATACAATTAAGATAATATAATACAATTATAGAATCTACCACCTGCTTTCTCTGCAGATGTTTCCAAATGAAGACCTCAGAATTCTAAAACAATGTGTTTCCATTAGAGACAAGCTGCTTCAAAAGAAATATGAGGAGCACAAGGTGAGAGACAATAAGAAGATTACTCTTCATTTCATTTATATGTCTTTAATACACTTATTGCCTTATTTGATTATTCACTTTAGCTTGTTTGAAATGTGTCTCCCTCTGCAGGCAGATTACAGTGATAACGTCCAGCGGGACCTGTTGGATGCTCTGCTGCACACCAAACGCAGGTCAGAGAATAACACCAGCACTCAGGATGTTGGTCTCACTGATGACCATCTGCTGATGACTGTGGGGGATATTTTCGGAGCTGGAGTGGAGACCACAACCACCGTTCTGAAGTGGTCCATAGTTTACCTTATACATCATCCACAGGTCCAGTAAATTACACTTTTTGACCATAACAGTGATCCCACCATCATTTTTTGCTTGTACTTTCACGAATTTAGGTTAATAAAGATTAAATGCACAGTACTGTTCTAGACAACAAAAAAGAACGTGGATGACCCTATCACAACCAGTATGTACCACTAGGGCCACCACCAAGTCAGTGCAGAAGAGAGGGGAAAATGTAGGTCAAGAACAGCCAGTCATGCTTTCTCTTTGTCTGAATTCTAGGTTCAGAAAAAGATTCAAGAAGAGTTGGACAGTAAGATTGGAAGAGACAGGCACCCACTGCTTAGTGACAGAGGAAATCTGCCCTACCTTGAGGCCACAGTCAGAGAGGTGCTCCGAATTCGGCCTGTCTCTCCACTCCTCATCCCTCATGTTGCTCTCTCAGACTGCAGGTAATTCCACACCACTATGTACTTACATTAAAGGCAGAACCAACTTATTTACATAGATCCACCTATTCAGCCTATAGCAGTTTAACCCCACCCATTTATATTTAAGTTCTAAAACTTTTTGAATGAAGTGAAATACAGAGCAGCCAATCAGAACAGAGCTTGTTTGTATATATTATTCTTAAAGGCACAGTAACAAAAACAGCCTGTATAATTCTAGGGGATAAAGAGATGTTTGAAAATGGTCATGTAAAATGAATGATGACTGTTTTTGGTACATAAAATCATGCTAATCTTGTAAGTGGAAAAACCTCTCAGAAACCTGAAATGCAAGAAAACATGTAGCATATGGGGCCTTCAAAACAGCCTCATTCACCAACAATTTTTTTCTTATATTTGTCATTGAGAAAGGTCCTATAAGAAAAAGTCCATGTCAGATTCATGACATGCTCTTAAACTGCAGAATTGTTCACACTTTTGTGCTCTAGAGTGTATGTAGATTCTGTTCTAGAACAAACCCCTAATAGGAAAACATTGGTGAATGTCAGAATCTTTGTGAAAATTACAAAAGTGGGTTTTAAGAAGACATTTCTTCTTAAGAATGGTTGGTGAATGAGGCCCAATGTTCTGCAGTGAACCTTTGTAAACCAAAACATGCCTCTGTTTTATCTGCTGTATTGCAGTATAGGAGAGTACACTGTGCAGAAAGGGACACGAGTCATTGTTAACCTGTGGTCCTTGCATCATGATGAAAAAGAATGGAAAAACCCTGAACTGTTTGTTCCAGGTACTAATTAAATAACTACATAAATCCTACATTTTTGCTAATAAATACAAAGCCACTGTGTTGTGTAAAACATCAATATTAATGGCGATGCTCCTGTTGTTGCTTAGTAATGGTAACATAATGTGTAATACAGTCTTTTGTAATTTTTCTTGAGCAGAGCGTTTCCTGGACAAGGAAGGGAACAGTCTGTTATACCCATCGGCCAGTTACCTGCCCTTTGGAGCTGGTGTGCGCGTTTGTCTCGGCGAGGCCTTGGCCAAGATGGAGCTCTTCCTCTTCCTGTCATGGATTCTGCAGAGGTTCACTCTGGGGGTGCCTGCTGGTCAGCCTCTACCAGATCTGCAGGGCAAGTTTGGGGTTGTCCTTCAGCCCCAGAAATATAAGGTCGATGCCAAACTCAGGCCTGGTTGGGAAAAGACCCCACAACTTCATTAAAACAATGAGGTTAATTCAGTCTAGCTTTAAAGTCAGCTTTTTGTGTCTTTTTCTGACCGTTTTGCTACAAAAATATGCCACGTTTTATAATTAATCTTCTCTAATAAGCTGGGCATAGTTTTGGTGAAGTGTGTATGAACTATGAGGCAAAGAAATATGCTTCTTTGTTTCTGTAATAAAAAGATAAATCTGGTCTTGCTGGTTAAAGTATAACTAAGAAGTCATAAAAGCACACAGACATTTTTAAAGCCTTGTTGTTTACATTGCCTTCATGGTGAATAATAAAATAACCGTTGATTTTAAGGTGCCTCAATAGCTCAGAACTTTCTTACGTCATGATGGTATATGAGCTGTTGATTCCATATCCATAAACAAAAGCTTAATAAAAACTTTTTAAAAATTAAGGTTTAAGTTCATCTTTTCCTCCAGGGCTCTGGGCCCTGTCCCTCATATTTAGCCAATTTTATTGACTGTACTTAAACTTTTGAACTTATAAATGCACTTGTAGTAGTGGAGTATAAAAGATTAAACTGTATGGTTGATGGACTATAAAACACAAAGGATATAGTTATCAAACAGCGTTTTCCAGAGTTAGCCAACTCTGCGAGCCAGCTACAAGAAATGGGGCCATAGTGACTGATGCTTCTTACATCTAGAGCACTGTGTATGAATTTAAAGGGGAGCAAAACACCTTCAACACTTTCATTCAGTTTTCTGTTGGATTCTCACCACCGTCACTGTCCGGCATTTTTCTAAAATCACAGAACGCACCCATCAGTAAATACACTTCACGCAATGCAGAATACTTGGCTGTTACTTAAAAGTTATTTTATTCATGATGTACATTCTTTGATACTCGTTCATTTGGCTGAGGCTTTATACAAAATGTTACCCATAGCAGAAACCGCAGTTTTCTTTAAAAAAAAAAACAAATGCAACTACAGATACAAAACTAAGATATAGTACCAAGCCTCACATTAGAGCTAAACATGATAAGCAACTGGCTCCTAAAGCCTTTCGTCACCTTCAAGCACATAAACTCACTGCATCAAATTTAAAACAGTGCAATGACACCTTATTCAGGCAAAAATAACAAAAACAAAACAAAACAAAACAAATTAATCTCATTCATATTTTAAGATGATTCTGATTTCTCTTTTAAACCAATATATATTTTTTGGTCTCAAGACATCAAAATAGGAGGGAAAGCACCTGGCACTAGAAATACAGAAGAAACTTGAGAGCACAATTCCTTCAAACTTCAAGATACTTGAAGCAGATTGTACAGCTTCAGGAACTATCTAAAGCAGACAAATGCACTTATAACTCAACACCAAATGCTTCTGCAAGCATGAAGTTGCTGTACATACAAAATATTTTAAACGTCCTAATGAGCGGCAGATCTAAGTTTTAATTTGTTTGCAGGACCAGTGTTTCCAGCAAACACTGCCCAAGCAGGATTCTACAGTATCTGGTGGCTGCTGTTTGTTTAAGAGAATCCTCCATTTACACAGATACCCTAGCCTGGCATTATCTCTGGGGCTGATGGTCTATCTGTGCCCTTTGAACTGAGGACTATCTAAACGTCCTGTATTGCTGGAAGCCTTACTGATAATTCACACCAAAGGTCAAATAAACACATGACCCCAACGAACAAGCAACTCCAAATCACTTTATCTATCTCTCTTTCTATCTATCCCTCTCACTAACAGACACACATACGCACCACAGTGTAGGAATGCAGTGGAGCAGCTCTGAGCAGTCTGTATTGCCACAGTAGAACGGAAACTGGCTGATCCACATTACCATATTTAAAAAGAAAACAGCACACAAAAGCATATGCACTGAGAACACTGTGGAAGAGAACATGAATCAAACCATTTGGAACCATAAAGAATTCTCTCTCGTCATGAAAAAGTTCTAATTGCAACAGAATTATTGTTTGCAACCTTTTTTGTGCACAAAATGCTCTTTATAGCACTCTGTCTCTGTAAAAAGCATGTTTATCATTATCAAACTGAATACATACCTGACTTATTAACCAGACAAAATCTGTAATAACATTAGCAAACAGGTACCATAAAACTTTACAAGCTTATTTTGTTTCCATACAGTGTTAGAAAATGGGATATGGAAAAAAAACATAAGAAATTACATGAAGCTGAGAAGTTCTTTGTGACAAAAAGATTACAGCCATTAGCACCTCACACAATCTGAATCAGAATTCTGTAGAAGGAGCATCCATCACCCATACTGGCCTTAAATTCTTATTTACAATGGAATCCCATTATGAAATTATTCCATTAAGGCATATGAAAGAGGGAGATATGAAAATCAACAAAGGCACCTAATTAGGCAAGCTGTGTCATTACCAGAAAACACCAATATACAACATTTGCAGTCCTCACTTGAAGCACCTGCTTAATTAACTCCAAACTCCACTTTTACTTTACTGTACGCAATATGAGTTTACAGACATATCAAATATAATCCTTTTTTTAGAAAGCGGAGTCCATGTGATGCAAAACACATACAAATGCATACACACAAAAAAGAAAACTGAAAAGCCTGCCAAATAAAGAGCACAATTAAATAAATCCTGAACGAAAGGAGATTTACCTCATCTTTGAGCTAAGCATAGCACAACAGTCTACCTTTGCACCAATACAGTATGTATAATATCTGATAGATTTCATTCCCAATTAAAAAGGGAGGTGAAATGCAAAAGGGCGCTGTTCAGAAAGGCTACACAGTAGCCCGATTTCTATTGTTTGGTAGACTGCTCTGATATTGGGGACATATGTGATGTGACAAGGTGGCCCTCACCCTATTTTCTTGCATTTATGAAGTGCATAATCTAGTCCCTTTGAGAGGAGTAGCCAAGAAAGAAACTGAAGGCTACATTTACATCACAGGGTGAAAAGCTCAAAGAAAATTTGTGTGTATCTGATTACATTTATGTTTAATGTTTTAAACATGCAGACCATGTTTGAAACAGGTCGACATTTGCTGAAATAACTGAAAAATATTCCAGTTAGACTTCTTACTATTTAGCTTTCAAGAAATTTATATGTCTTTAAATATGTGGAGAAAAAAGTAGATCTACCTGTCTATTTATTTAACAAAATAAAAGAACATCAAAATCTCCACAAAGCAGTATACTAGCAAGAGTGGTGGACTCATGTACTGGGGCACTATACTGAGGCCAAAAAAGAAATAAATATAAAATTGTAAGGTGTTAGTGCAACCTCTTGCTAGATGACATCTAGGAGTCAGTTCAGCTACTTAACAAGCATGTAATACATTGCTGCCAATGTTAAATATTTTATGAGTGCTCTAATTGGAAGATTAACTGGCTGCCACTGGATATTTTGTCCTTAACTAACTATAACCCTCACTGGGTTCATGAAGAAATAATATTTAAATAATTAATCAATATTTCACTACTACAGGCACCTCATTCAAAATTGTAAGCAATTGTTTTTAGGCCTAGCAAGTGAATCATTTTCTCTCCGCAGCTTTGACCACGGCCTATATGCCTAAAAATGTCTCTGTTGGATTTTGACGTTTATCTCCAAACACTACATAACATTCACACTTCCAACACAAACGGCCAAAGCAACAGTATGGTGAGAAAGTAAAGGGAGACAGCAGTCCTTAAAATAGTCACTGCTATAGGTGGTGGTGCTTAGCTTTGGGGATCTGTATTGTTGCCATGGTGAGGACCCTCCTGTTCATTGATGGTGTGCAAATGGAGGCAGATGGGGGGTCGCTGTAAGGGAGGCTCTCTGTGCTCAGGGCCCCTCTCGGGGGCAGCAAAGCCCTGCTCCTCATCCCCTGGCTGTTGAGGGCCATTGCTACGGGGGTTGCAGCTATCACAGAAGTCCTGCTCCCTTAACCCCTCTCTGTCCAGAAGTCCCTCAAGCTCCTTCATCTCCTCCTCTTCCTCCTCATCTTCGCCTGGTCCACGGTTGCACACACACACCTCAATTCCTGAGTCACCTGTAAAGCGTCTATGCCGCCCAGGAGTCCTGTCCTTGTTGTCAGGACAACTGTCCAGTCCCTGCTCCGCAGGCTTTGAGGGATCTTTGCCACAGCTGCCTTGCTTGGACATCTCAGGAGAAGTGGCTGATGCTACCTGCTGCTGTTGACTATCTTCTTCAAAGCTTAGGTAGGGTTTGTGGGCATCTCCTGCTGGACAATGCGCATCAGGGCAATGAGTTTCTTCTATACAGTCCCCGCTGGAGTGGCTCTCTGATGCAGGGTTTGTAGAGGTGGACTGCAGCGATGGGCAAAGCTCATCCGGCTGTTCAGGGCTCAAAGCATCACTGCCCTGACCAGGCTGAGAGGCACTATATGGAGGAGGGGGTGTTGAGGGTCTGTTCTCCACCTCCTCATATGCAGGTAAGAGGTAGCTAGGCAGGAACCCTTGAAAGTAAGACAATGAAGCAAGGAGAGAGGGAGAGAGAAGTTTTAAAATGTGTATGTTCTCAAAGGCCATGAATGAATCATGTAAATGTAACAAACACAATCCTGCTTAAATGCATATTTCAACTAAAAATGAACTTAACATGGTAGTAATAAATGAAGGCCAGGTGGCAGAGACAAGTTAGCACTATGCTAGTCCCCCCTAAGTGTAGGTGGTGATGCTAAGCTTGAGTAGTCATGAGACTGATCTTATGATTCTGCTCTCTCTTCAAACATAAAGCTTAGATGTCAAAGCTTAGATGTTTAAAGCATATAAGCACAGAGAATCCTAAATACAAGTCTACATAGTAAGAAAGGAGATGTCTGAGAAAAAAGCAGGTAGATGCCATTGTATAAAGTCAAAGCAGGCCACTCACTGAAGTAGAAGGGAAGTGAGGTGTAATTGTGGACCTCTCTGTAGGCAATGAGGTTGATTTCATGCTGACGTTGCTGTTGTTGCAGTCGATGCTTGGTGCGACGATGGTGACAAACACAACAGCAGCTTAGGATGATGATGACAGTCCAGACCAGCCAGAACCCTACAAAGCATAAATACGTACACCTCATAACGTGTTCTGTATCAATAACATCAAATAACAGCACTGGATAGCATAATGGAAAAAAAAATTAGAACAGATTTACAAATTTACATTGGTCATGTGCATGAATGAACAGTACTCTATCTTGTGACATTTCTTCCAACAATTGAGGTCAATTCCTCAAAGACTGACTAATAAGAACCAGCCGTCTTTACTTCTGCAAAATGTCAATACTATTCTTAGAAGGTTTAAAAGTCAGTTAAATATTTTCATATGGTGATACACTTCCGGCATCGAATCACAAGTGAAGAATGTCCTGAACTTTCGGACGGAACACTTGCTAGCCGGAAGGGGGGAGAAGAAAACGCTGCAGGCTGCCATGTCATCATGAGATCCAAGTGTGTGAAATATTGTCCCAAATAAAGCACAAGCCATTTCTGGCAAATGGGCTCGACTTTTCCAAATAGAGAGGCTGAAGGCATCTGTTTACAGGAGCTGCCCTGATCGGGTTACATGTGAGGCAAGTCTGTCTGGACCGGCTGTATTAGCTGCAATGAGGAAAAAAACATTGTGCAGTCCTTGACTCAGCAGATGATATGCCATAATTACTGCAGAAATGAGACTAGTCATCAGCTATTAAAATAGATGGCACACCACAGAACGAAAGTAACCTGATAAGACAATACCATTGACAGTGGGTGTGAACAGTGCCGGACTACAAATATGACTGAGTGAGCCATCCACACAAAAGCAAGTACCATCCTTTTACAGATCAGCCTCATCACTACACACCCAGTATACAGGGTTTCTCCAGTACTATAAGTTACTCCCAAAATCAGTAGAAACATTCTAAAGTCACTAATATGGTCTAGGATTAAGCAAAGGCAGTTTCACCATAACAGCACAGTAAATATGATAATTAATTAATATGCAAAATACACATAGCAGCACCATGAATAAATCCTGAGTGGGCACGAACAAGGATCAATGCTTTTAACATTACAGAAACAATGTGCATTACATAACAGATTTCCATGCACTTTGAACTTAAACAAGTTTTTTTATAGCAAATACGCAATCATGAGAAAGTCCACAGCTTCATCTGCTGTAATATCTGAATCTCCGGGCTAGTCGCTTTCCTCGCAGAGCGCTGCAGTGCTCATACCGCGTCTACCAGGCCCTAGCCTCTCTCAGCGGCAGGCTAGGGGGTAATTGCACAGTTCACAGAGGTGATGTAACTCGAGGTATGAAGGGCATACGTCGTGGGTCTATTAAGGGTCCAGAACGGCAGGGCACTGTTTGTAGCCAACCTGGGAAATACATGGTGTCTAATACCACGGCAGAAAGAAATTCACTGCTGTAAATGAGCGGAACGTCAGGAGGCCAAGCTGAGATGATATACACTTCCACATTTTACCAGTGTCAAAAAGTATAAAAGAATGTACTGACAAAATATACTGTGGTGTTACCATGCTGCATTATAAGTAGTTCAGAAAGAGAAGAAATGTTCATGTTGAGCTGTATTAGGTTCATTTGTACATGGACTTTTATGCTGAAGAGCCTGAAAATGGTGAAGTGATGGGTTTCCGGAGTAAAGAAGAGGGCTGTTTTTTTAGCTGTTAGAACTGGAGAGGCTGTGTTTCATCTCAACATTTGTGGTGCAAATGAAAAATAAAGCTGCATTATGGACCGTAATCTTGAGTCATCCAAGTCTCTTTCAAGAACCCTGAACATTACAGTATTTTGTTGTCTGCCCTTATTGATAGCCTACATTTAGCCAAAAAAACAACAACAAAAAATAAATAAATAAATAAATAAACAAAAGGGTCCAAATCCCAAGATTAAAATCCAAATACCTACCCAATGAACAAATATCCAAAAAGCCAAATATATATATATATATATATGAAATAATTTGCGAATAATAGTGCTAACCCTTTGGTCAAGAAATAAGCCACAAAAACAGATTCATATCAAACACAAAGACTTGGATTGTCAATAATTAGCGGTGCAGAAACTAATTATTTACTTAAGGTAGTCAAAGTGTATACAGCTATAATCAGTGCCATTTCTAAGTAAATGATACACAAGATACATGCAAATATCTGCTTTTATTAGACCTGCTGTTGAACATTCCTACAGTACTGAGGAATCCAGAGGCAAACATACTTGGCTGGGTCACTCCTTGTTCAAACATTACTTACATCAAAATAAACAATATCCGTACCATGTCCTGACCTGGCTCTCAAACATGAAAAGGAAAGGTGAGGTTACTTACACCACAGCTCATAGTAGTAGCTACAGCACTGAGATTCTCCACAGCAGTGGCCTGATTCACAGATGTAGCTCTGGTTGTTCACCCCGATGCACAGCAGCTTACTCTGCAAAACAAAATACAAGGTGTGATGCCTACTTTGCTCATGACTCAACTATCAAATGCACTATGTTGGACTGTATGTTTGCAAATAATTGTGTATTGTTATAACAGCACTACCCTAAACAGGTACATATTGTACTGTCCTTGAAACACTGCTAACACGTTAGAAACTGCACATTAAAATGTAATGACGTAATTACGTAAAAGGTACAATTACTAAGTGGCTTTGAAACTGGGACAGTTTATACAAAGTGAAAGGATAAGCAACATAGGCAACTCATGGAACAACAACCACCTAACCTAACCCTAACCCTTCATTAAAAACATGGTTATGCTGTTAAAAAAAAAAACAAACAAAAACATGCTGCTAAAATAACAAACAAAAAACAAAACAACAACAACAACAACATCAACATCAACAACAACAACCACATCTGTCCATAGAGTAGGGGATGCAGTTAATGTGAAGCTCAGTGAAACTTCTCATCAAACACAGCCAACAGAGCAACAAGTATAATCATCATTTGTCAATTAAAATAATGTTGACACGTGCTGCTGTTTTTTGTTCTGGATTACCTGCCGAACGCCCAAAAGGAGAGACATAGTGTATACTGGAAAGAAGAATTCACTGCTATCTCAGCTCAGAGAGAGTAATGTTACACACGCAGGACTGGAGAGCGAAGGAAGAGACAAGAGGAAGATCAAGTCCAAACAATTCTGCACTCGGACATGATACAGTGCGACATGAACTGCCCAGTCTGAAGGCTAGTCTCATTTTAAACACCAGCACAGCCCCCGCTCACAACATTTAGGACACAGCTAGCCATGCCAGGGAATGCAAGTAAACAGGATGACACAGGCAAGCTGTCTCTCCCTGTCACTCACTCAGACACTTAAACACACACACACACTCACACTCACACACACAGAACCTTACACTAACAGCAGTAAAGGCTTTTTCGAATTTAGGCCTAATCAAAACACACCAAACCTTGTATGTCCATTTTTGTCATTTTTCATTTTTGACATAACTTAAAAAAGGCTAGTTGCCCTTTATGATGTGTCAAAATTTCATGACGAACGAACCAACAGAAATGGTCCACAATTATCCATCCATTCACTTCCATTAGAAGTTAAGAACGTTCTTCCTGTTCCTGTAAAGTTACCTTTTTAAGGCAGTAAACATAATGTTTGTGTACAATGGTCTGAGAAAACCCAGAAACGAATGCACAGACGAAGCAACAGGCTAAATTATAACGCTAACACTGGTACTTCAACTTAAAATCTAAGTCATAATCTCTCACGGTAGTGCTGGGTGATATTGTCTTTATACTGGTATACCATAAAATGGACATTTATTTTATGATCTCACTTTTCAGTTTTAATGATATTTTAGTGATATTGAAAGAATGACAGGATATAAAATAGGGTTGTAATAACAGAACATGACAAAATTTGTTTTATGAGACGAAAACTGAATAAAACATTTCAACCAAAACAGGTCATGTTTGTAAGACATTCCTTTAGCAGAACTAAAGCTCTAGTGATTGAGAAACATGGGTCCATTAGTTATTCATTACTTATGATTACAAACTTAATTATCTGAGTCACTGACCATTTCATTACCCAGAATCACTACTATAGTTACTGAAATGCTCTTCTTCATTTGCCTTAAAAGCAGAAATGTGTGGAAAACTGAAGAAAGTTCATACGAAAACAGCTCTAACTTGGAGAGAAATTTAAACACAGCCATGATGTTTAAGATCGGTCCTCCTTTAACTAGAAAGTGAAACACTACACTAATATACCTGACCCAAACGATTAAGGTCTTCAGACCTTATAAACATTAGAGCCAGGGCTTTAAAACAGAAGCATCACGAGCAGGGAGGTAAAGTAATGGTTAATTAAAATGTAAACCTGAAATGTGGCAATTAGAAAAAAAATTAGAACAGGAAATACTAAATATCAGCCCCCGTTAGATTATTTAAAAGTATAAGCTCAGCAGCAAGGTGTGGTAAACTACTGTAAAAACTACATGGAAGGTCTGGAAATTCTGAAGAAATTAACTGAAGATTAGTAAATCAATCTGGGGTTTACACTGTTCCAGCTACAATGCAATTTACTGCACAAAGGCAAAAGACTGCAGTAAAGTCAAAGATTCACTTTAATCTTTGGGGCAGGAGTTGACAAACATTACATATAAAAGACCGTTTCTGCCAAGTTCCTGACTGAACGTGTACTAATCTGGATGTGTGCAACTTTATTTTCATTCCCACAGGTACACATGCAAGGCCATATGTACATATCACAATTGTCAGTGTTGGACAAATCACTTTCAAATCTGGACTGGAGAAACTAAACAAATATTAAATTACTTTGGGAAGGATCCCCTTTCACTGGTTCATAAACTCTTAAAAATCACTGCTATTGACTGGATCACATTTTTCATGTGAACCCTGCTTACCTAGATATACTATATGGACAAACGTATTAGGACACCTACACAATACACCCACTTGAGCTTTTATGACATCCCATTCTAAACCCATAGGCATTAATATTGTTCGTGCCCCCCTTTGCAGCTATAACAACTTCCCCTCTTCTGGAAAGCTTTCTATAAGATTTTGAAGTGTGTCTGTAGGAATTTTTGCCCGTTCATCCAGAAGGGCATTTGCGAGGTCAGACACTGATGTTAGACGAGAGAGTCTGGCTCGCAAACTCTGTTCTAGTTAATCCCAAAGGTGTTCAGTGGGGTTGAGGTCAGGGCTCTGTGCGGACCAGTCAAGTTCTTCCACACCAAACTCACTCAGCCATCCCTTAATGGACCTTGCTTTCTGCACTGGGGCACAGTCATGGTAGACTGGAAAAGGGCCTTCCCCAAACTGTTCCCACAAAGTTGGAAGTATAATAGTATAATTGTCCAATGTCTTGGTCTGCTGAAGCATTAAGATTACCTTCACTGGAACGAAGGGGCCTAGGGCAGCCCCTGAAAAGCAACCCCATAGCATTATCCTCCTCCACCAAACTTTACACTTTGCAAAATGCAGTCAGGCAGGTAATGTTCTCCTGGCATTCGCCAAAACCAAACCTGTCCATCAGACTGTGCTTTTGCTGATGTTGCTTCTAGAGACAATTTGGAACTCGTTAGTGAGTGATTCAACAGAGCCTAGGCACTGTGCACTTCAGCACTTGCCGGCCCACTCTGTGAGTTTGCGTGGTCTACCACTTTGTGGCTGTTGTTGCTCCTAGGTGCTTCCATTTCACAGTAATAGCACTTACAGTTGACAGGGGCAGATCTAGCGGGACAGAAATATCACAAACTGACTTATGGCAGAGGTAGCATCCTTTGAAAGTCCCACGTTTAATGTCACTGAGCTCATCAGTGCGACCTATTCTACTGCCAGTGTTTGTCTACTGAGATTGCAAGGCTACGTGCTTAATTTTATCCACCTGTTAACAATGGGTGAGGATGAACTCAATAATTAGGAGGTGTGTCCCAATACTTTTGTCTATATAGTGTAAGTGCAGTTACAAATTTGGATTTTAGTTGTGAAATACAGGTTGGAGTGCAGGTGAAACACTAGAAAATTGCATTTTAAATTCTGTGGCTTACTGTAAATTTACAGAATAATATGATAAAAGCTCAGACTGGAGTAACCTAACCTAGCATTTGTCTAGATTTTTTGCCATGTTAAATAACAATCAAACACATTAATACTTTAGATGATTATATCTAGAATTGTTTAATGGAGATTCTCCTGAAGTTCTTCAGTTTTGTGTGTGAATGTTGGTTAGGCCATAGCAAGCCCACCAATAAGTGAAACCCTGATAACACTGTCTCCCCACACATTTTCCTGAACAAAAATACAATAAATGGACAAATAATGTCTTTCACACTGTTCATCACTGACCCATACAGGCAGTTTAATAATGGCTAGGCCTTCATTTTGATAGTGACATCTTTTTAATTTTCTTTAGAAAAAACTTATTTTCCATGAACATAAAGAAATCTTTCCTCTAAGTGTCAATGAAAACGTTCGTATAGAAGGCAACGTACCGGTAGTATTTAAACAGATTTGGACTGATCATGCGTCAACTCAGCTCACACAAAGAAACTCACTCACCAACCAAAAACACCGTTAAAAATAAAGTTACCAGCTGCCAATGAAATGTCACTGAACTACAAAGAAATATTACAGTGTTTAAAATCCGTCGCCAATGAACTGTCGAACATATTAACCTTGTTTATCTAATTTACTAGTGATACTGGTATTCAGAGACTTCCGCAGAAAGCTGTTTTGTTGCTAGCTAAGCTAGCTAGCTAGCTAGACAGCTATCTGTCTCTCTGCAGCTCCAAACAAAGTTTTTACCCACACAGCTAACTTAGCTTAGTGATAGCCAAGTCTATCAATTCACAAACTGGCAAAGTTAACGTTACCGCTATGATCCATTTCTAGTCTGTGTTTAAGTCGCCTGTGTTACTGTTGACATTTTCGGACGATGGAGTAGCTTGTTGACCAATGACAACACTGTAAAAAGAGTAGGAAGACTAGCTAGCTTAGCCAGCTCGAACCAAGTGAAGGTATAACAGCGAGCTGCTTCGCTCTGCTTTTACCTCCGTGATCAGTGTCTCCGCTGACGCCGAGCTGACGGGACCGACAACGGCGTTCATGAAGAACAAGCCCATTTTCAGCGCTGTATAGTCGGTCTCCCGCATCCCACTCTTTGTCGTAGCTGTCGACACATCTGCGGCGCGGTATGACATTTAGCTAACAAGCAAGCCAGCTTTGTTTTTTATTTCTGTCTATTTTTCAACTAATTAGCCAGCTAGCTACACAACTCTAGGGAAAGTAGCTACACTTCCAAGCCCCGCCTTCTTCATACTTTGCTATTGGACGATTCAAGGAGAAACTTCCCTGATGTCGCTGTAGGAGCGTTTCAGCACAGGCTGCTCGGGCTGTCACTCTGCAAACAGCTGCAGTGCTGTCAGCGCTGGTAGGACTGTACAGGGTGTGACTTTATAAGCAAGCTCTTTACATTTGATTGCAAAGAAGTCAGGTGATGATGAGTTAAAGGGACAGGAAATACGTTTTAAACGAGACGCCATTTATTATATTTAAATGGCCCTATAATGGAGCGGATATTTGGGTCCTGTTTGCGCTCTTTTCAAGAACGAGTAATAATTGAATAACGTTTATTCTTAACTCGAGGTCTGCAATGTCAGCATTTTCCTCTCGTCACTGAGTGAAGCTACTACTTGCCGATGCATTAATGTAGGTTAAATGCAGGAAAAATGTATGTTTCTCTCCTTGTTATTTTCAGGGAATACATTTTGACATTACTTACTCACAGAGAACAAATACATTTCCACTACAAGGAATCCTGAAAGTCAGCAAATGTTCTTTTAATAAATGCGCATTCATTCATGTTAATGTGATGTGTTTGAAAACAGTTTGTCATAATAACATGTAATATCACGTGAGTGCCATATGGTGGGCAATGTTTGTTATTTTTTATTTTATTTATTTTTTTAAGCAAGTTTTTGGGGATACATGGATAAACTTATGGAAAAATCATAACAATGTATAAAAATCATTACACTTCAAATGTAAATATTTACTTTAAACTATACCTATGACTGCATTCGTTTGAATTATCATTTAAAGGGACACTTCAAATTAAAAATAAATTACCATTGCTACATCTGTTGTATTCCTGTTCTACACTACTGCCACATAAATTTCTAGAGTGAGATTTTCAGTTTTAAAGATCAGGAAAACCCACTTCTGATGATGTATCTTGAAGGTGGGAGGAACTTTTGAAAAACTACTAGCAGTTTGGGGTGGATACATGAGGGCAGGCTGTTTGATTTTTTTTTCCCGCTAGCTGGCTAATACAGAAGAAAGCCAGATAGCTAACTGCTACTGCTAGGAGGCTGAATAATATGTCTATATTTATTAGCCTCTGCATGAGTGTCTGTGCCCCCAGTCAGGATTTCTTTATCATTGATGGGAGGATTCTGTTAGAGTAATTTTTGTGTAATATATGCTGGATATTAAGAGAACACAGATGGAGAGAAACACAAAAGATACAAAATTGTGGATTCTGTGAAACTGATAAGGCTAAAGGATGCAGTGCTGCACTAAAGAATATTACATTACATGACAAATAAGTTAAATGCTAGTTAGCATGTTAATTGCTAGTTTTAGTCCAGAATTCCCCTTTAAAAGCATTTTTGATGAAAGCATGGCATTCTGATGAAATATGTAGCACATGTGGCAAAAAATTGAACAAAAACAAATAATTCAGTAGCATGATCAATTAACATTAATATGAAGGTTTAGTGTGTTCAATCACAGTTTCTTATGATGTGTTATAAGTATTGGACTGAGAATGTCTCTTATTGAGGTAGATGAGGGTAATCTCCGTGTAAGTGTACATGTTTGCTTTATAGAATATGTTATTTTGACAGATGGGCTCACACCCACTTTGATTCCCAAGATGTATCTTTCCTTCCATCTCTGGACTCCTGCTCCTTAGGTGAGGCCCTTTGAACCTTTCATCCGAGTTAAAAGAAACAAAAGCAAACAAATCACATTGTTCTTTCAGGAATTTTTCTTGTTCAGTGCCTTTCATTTCTTCCTTTTTTAGGCACTGCTCTCATTCAGAACAGAGAAGTCAATGGATTCTTACATCCCGGCTTGACAAGTTAGGAGGATACAAGCTAATCCCCTTAATCTGTCTATTCTCCCGCGCAGTGCCAAAGGGGGAGTGGGACCTGGCGCAAGTAATCCTATAGAAAAAACAATAGGATTAGTCCCTGACTCTTGGAGTGACAATCAGGTATCTACTGACTGATTTGCAAAGTAGGCTCGAGTTTCTTCAAATTTGCTTTTTTTTTTCCCTCCTCTGGGTAAAGGGTGCCTTTCACTAAGTGCTGGTGGGATTCCATGAGGAGAAATGCTGGAGGTCTGTATGAAAGGCATGTATTCTTCAGGTCCAGTGCCAGCAGATGACTGACAGGTCCTTGCCTTCTCCCACAGCAGAGAAGGTGGAGAGGTTGGGGAGCATGGTGGGCTCAGGCTGGCCCCACCTCTTTACCCTCTGATTCAACCCTATTATAATTCGAACCGCATTGCCTTTAAAGAGAGGACTTTGACAGACAGATCAAACTGCTTTGCTTTTTTTTGCATAGCAAATGAAGTTGGTTGAATGGGCCAGAAAATTAAGAGAGATTAAAAATGCACAAATGTGTTGTGCCCTTTTTTCTGTTTGCTCTTATTCCTTTTATTTCCCCTTATAATGACAAACATTGTTTTTTGTTTATTTACAAAACTGTAGGAGCATAAGTTTATATATATTAGCATATAAATTAAAATGTAAAATGACACATGAATGAAAACCTGTAAGAAAGCTTAACTGAATTTCAATATACAGTAAAGACTTAATATGGACTAAAATATACCTTCTTACTTATAAATTGGGAAAAATGGTTAACTATAAATAAATATAGTTTTAAAAATGTATGAATAGTATTTGCAGTGCAGTTATGAGGCATTTAAAGCCATCTGCAGTATAAATAGCTCTAGGTTGTCTGATGACTTATGTACTTAGATAAAGATTTTCTTGTCTTTATAAAAGTTCTTGTAAGTTCTGCAAGTTTTTCCTCTGACCTTTAGATGGCACTATTGCTATAAAATTACCACTAAGTCCTCTGAGATGCTTGAGTGAGCTGAGGCCTATTCCTAGTTGTGTGATTAGCCTCAGTGATACCTGATACTTGACCACAAGCTAATGCAGCTCGGGAAGGGCATCATCCTGTAGGAAACAGGGGTCACCTGCTCTCAAAAGGAAGTCCTTGATTCTATTTAAGTCCAGTGAACTTGGCCAAGCAAAACATGGTCTTACTTTTAACTTATACTCACGTTACACTCTCAGTCGTCTTTGTGGTTAAGGAGAAGTACAGGTGAATACAGGTGAATAATGTGTGAAATGGGGTAGGCTTATTTAACTGTGGTTTACAGGTTCAGTAGTGCCTGCATTTATGAAACGACATCACAATTCGTGAAGCGTTCTGAAAAATACTTAAAACTGGACCCTTACATACCCTTCACATAGAGTCATCCCTTTATTCCATTATCATATTAAAATAAAACCTGAGCAGAACTGCAGTTGCCTGTGTTCCCACCCTTGTGAGGTATAACATAACATGGAGGATAGTGTTTCACCTGCTAAATACTTTGCTCTGTCTTCCCACTATTCTTCCAACATCTGCCAGGAGAGTCACAGTGTAATTAAAGCTTTGAAGACGCAGGCCAGCACTCTGACCAGATGCATCATTACCTTCGTCATGCTGTATTTTGTTTTCTAAATTTATGGAGCGGTCTCTGCTCAGGTCACTCTCTGTGGTTTGCCGTCTTTACTCTTAACATTGTTGTGATGCTAGAGCATGTGTCCAGCCCGGGAACAGATGCTTTACAAACAAACAAAACAACCGGAGCTATGAATTAAAACAAATTAGATCAAAATGTTCTCAAGATTCAGTTTACAACTGGCAGTGTATTCCTCTCCATCCTGTTGTTTCCCTTACATTAAAGTAGAATAGGGAAAACCGGTATATTTGTTTCACAATACTGGTAGTCTTGGTGCAATTAGAGTTATGCTGATAGTTGTAATTTCTGAACTTAGCTTACATTGTCAGGATTATGTGTGATGTCTGTAGTTTTTGAGATACTTGTTAGGTGGCCTTTATCTCTGGTCAGTGAACGCTCATTTCTATGTCTTTTTTACTGTTAGTGAAGCTGTTTTGCATGCACAGGCCATTGCTGTCCAAGAAAAGTTCTGATTTATGTTCTCAAATATGAGAAAAATAAAAGATGAGTGAATAATATGCAATAAATTGCCAGTACATTAAGTACATCTACCTTGCATCCACACACACTGAGTATTTTAACTGATATACATGTATCTATGATATGTGTGCATTTTGAAGCAATACCCACTATCATGTTACTACCATTCTGAGCTGAGAATGGTGAATGGTCATTGAAACAATATCTGGTCAGCAGTTTTTCCACTGATGATGGGGTAGCGAGTGGATGACAAACTGTGCACAGCAGCTGATGTTCTATAGTCAGTAATTGTATATCTTTAAGGTGCTCTTATATGGTGAGTGTACTTGGGGTTGCCAACTTCATCTGACAGAAATGCTTCAGTTTTTTCAGCAAATGCACAGAAATGTCTCTTTCTGGAGGGATGCTCCCTAGCTCCTCCATTTTGGCCTCATGAAATTATTTAGCTAGTTTAGCTGATTTGCAACAACCAGTTATTTGCTATACAAAGCCAATTATATGTGGGATTTTCTGGGTTGTCTTTATGTTAAATCAAGGACTGATTTTTCACAATTCCAAGAGGCCTTGGCCAATGCCTTAAGCCTCAAGGTCAATGCATGAGGGTTGGCAACACCAGATGTAAGTGATAAAATTGGCCAATGAGTGTAGATACAAGGTATCTGTAACGAGAGATTAGTAGAGAAGCCTAAACCCATACTCAAGTAAACGTATGTTGAAAAAACAACAAAAAGCTGATGAAATAATGACACGTACAAGTTCAGGACTTTTTAATGTATCAAGCATCTATCATCATAGAAATTGAAATTTGTTAGGCTCTTTTTGCTAAACTCTTAATTGAAAGTGATAAACCTCAAAAGTGAGAGATTTGACCAGTCATGAAGCAGTACAGATACTCACTAATGTCATGCAATTAAACACAAAAAAGGAACTGGCAACTAAATGTTTATGATTAAAATGAGTACAAAGTAAAAGACTTTCCACACAAATACACTTCAGTAAAAGTCTTATCATTTGAAAATACTCAGGAAAGTACAAAACTCTTTTAAACTGTCTCCAGCTGTGACTGTTTACTTATGTGCATTTTGCAAAGGGTGTGAAGGTTCTGTCTGTGTGCGGGAGGGTCCAAAGGTGTGTCATGTAATCCCTCAAACCTTTGTTCTACAAGGTGCCCCCAGACACTCCCCATACCCTCTGAACCCAGAGGACTCTATGACAGTGTTCTCCATTTCCATCACTTCCCCTGAAAACCAGAAGTAGTTCCCCACAATTCCCTGTGGCACTTAAATTTAACCTTGTCAGAGTGTACACGTAATCGGTCTACTTCAGATCTGTCCTTGCACCAACATCTGGATGCTGCACATTTCAGTTTACGTCATTGCTGGATGAACATTCACTAAAAATAGTGAATTTCAGGACTGATCAATGTTAAAACCCTTTCAGTAACATGAGTAACATACATTCATGTGTCATCTGATCCAAAAGAACAGACCCTCATTTTAAAACGAATGCTTTTAAGTGCCATTTGGGTCACATGTACTGTAGGTAAACCTTTGGCCCATTCCCATAAGCTTCATTTTATCTTGTACAAAAGGCTGATTCAGCTTCACTTACATAGGGGGGTTTACCACAAAGGTCGGAGAAGATATAAATATGGACAGGTGGGACAAAACAGGAAAGGAAAGTGGAGAGGTCAGAAGGGCAGTTGTGGTTGAGCAGTACTGTGGAAAGGAGGGAAAAGGTGAGAGCAGGAGGGACACTAGATTAGCAGAAAAGAAGCAAAAAGCAATGAAGTGGTGAAAAAGAATGACTTGTGATGTCTGAAGTCAACACTCCACACTGTTAAAAAAAATAGTTCTTCAAGGGTTCTTCGTAGACCCATGACCACTCAAAGAACCATGTGTATGTTCAATGTTCATGGTGCAATCGTTCTTCAGATTGATGGAGAATGTGTTGTAATGGTTCTATACAGAACCTTTTTGAAAAGGGTTCTTCTATCATTATGATGTCAAACTCGTAACAATAGAAGAACCCTTTTTGGTGCTATACAGCACCATATACAACACATTCTCAATTAATTTGAAGAACCATTTCACCATACAAAGAACGCTTTAAGCATGCAAATGATTCTTTATAGAACCACTGTCCTTAAAAAGAGTGTGGGTGAATGCAAATTGCCATTTGCACCTGTGAAATTGTCACTGATACGATATATTACAATGGATGGCTAATATTTACTATAATATGCACAAAAGAATGTAATTTTGCATGCGCTTAAGTGCCCATTTCCATCTCAGCCCAAAAGTAGAAGATTATTATTTATTTAACTGACCACTGTTTTCGGTCCCAAGTGGCCATATTTCTTGCATGACTGTACAATCTCTGCACGGACGTGTAGGCATTCCTTTTATCCTCAATGCCAAATCAGCTAATGGATTGTCCCACATTGAATGTGATCTAATTTATTCCATCATTGTCCGTAAATCACACACCTCTCCCCAATATTCTCAGCACTCAGCATCCCTATGTGCTTTTACTATTCTGTGTACCAGCTGAGTGCAATCTGAATATGTGTACAACAGCATGTTGAAGTTATTAAAATGCTGCTGAACACATCAATTAGTAGCATAAAAACCATGCTTTGTGACAGTTATAAATAATCCAGTATTGTTGTATTTTCCTTTTCCTACATTGGCTCTCCAAATCATGGGACCTGATCCCCAAGAGAGCAGCCAAACAAATGCACATTAGATATGGATAAACACTGTATCAGCATGTGGATTTTGTTTTGTCACCATGTCACGAACCATATTGCCTTTCCAGCTGATTTTTCCATAACATGAGATTTTAAGTACTGCATTTCTTTGAATCCCTGTTGTTATTTTTAGTCGGCATGTGACTCTATAATTGAGGTCTGCTGAACCCTAAGAGAGAAAAGAAATGTGACTATAGCGTTAACGTACAACACCTTTCCAATGTGATCCTCTGTCATAACCAAATCCAGGGGGCTTTAACATCAGAGCGATGAGACATTTGTTTTGGGATGGCCCATGGATTAGCCATGTCAGCACAGGCCCTTGCTCACTGGTCAGATACTTGTGTGCTGTAAAACGGCACGTTTAGTGCACAGCAAGAACAGACGACCCTTTTGCACTTACCTCTCTCTCATTCCCTCCGGCAGATGTCTATGCTCCAACATCATGACCACCATGGATCTTATGGCCACCCACAGCCATTAAGCCCTCACCTTCCATCCAAGAATGCCTGCTTCCCTTTCAACCTTTCTGATGTGTGAACTAGTTTTTAAGTGGGGAAACCTTCAGCAAACTATTGAATAATTGAATACTGAATCCACTAGAAGGATACACACACAGCAGGAGTCATTTCCCTCGAGACTCTTGAAGCATTCAATATAAAGTCAGGTTTCAAAATATATACATTACAAACCTGAAGAACCTTTCATTAGCAGCAGCAAATGAGGTAAGCAAGCATTCTATAATAACCTTATTAAACAGATTTCTGATTATTCTGTTGCATTCACATAGTGAGGCTGATATCATGATATTTTTCTAGTAAAACCAAATTGCATTATGGTGTAGTCTTTTCTGAATTGTCTGAAGTGGAGGGTTTTGGTTTATGTGCAAAAATGCACAAATTTAGGATCATAGGAAAATCTATTACATTATTTTAAAAAAAAAATCCCTGTTTGCTACTGGTCGCTTGATGTGAGCTACAGGCTGGAAACCCCTGACTTAACTCAGTATATGGATCATTCTAACAAATTAGTTCAAACTGAGATCTCACAGTTAGTATTCAGACTTTAGATATTTACAAGGATTATGTCATGATCTATTTAAACCCAAGGCATTAAAAGATTTAGCAATAAGCAAAATATATACAAAGTCATAATTTATAAGGTACTTTCTATGGGGAGGTGGCTGTCCCACACTCTAACCCCTACATTCAAACTTATGATAATAATACTTCAAAGTAAGGTGAAAGATTTAGATTTACCACCAGTTTAATACTTGAATAAAAAAACTTTATTTAAAAAATGCTGTCCTACAATTTCATGTCACTACTAAAACACAGACTTTTAGGCCTTATTTTAGCTACACCCTTGTATTTTAGCACAGGAAGTGAGACTGCATCCCTGTCCCTCATGGCCACATGGTGAGCAGTCTGAATTGTTTTGAAGTAAATGTGTCCTAAAGACTGAAGTGTGTAACATTAAGAATTGTCACTTCCAAAACACATTTTCTGCAATTAAGTAAACTTTTTTTGTGAAAAATATTATCCCAGCCATGTATTGGCTACTGTTTTTGAGTTATGCTAAAATGTTACTACTGAAACAGTCACTACTGAAGTTTTAGTATTGTTATGATTGTTTAGGTGTTGACAAAATGGTATTCTCAATCATTTATTTTGATAAATATTATTAAGGTATAATGTTAGTCTAAAGTCCAAGTCAGTTAAAAGTCTAAAATGGGATGTGAACTCTGACTTTGAACTAATTTGGTAGACTGATCCACATAACCTAAAATCTTTATATGTCAAATAATGTAAATATGTCTTACTGAGTAAAAAACCCTGCAGGTTCACAATGCCTTATGACTGACTAGAAGAAGACTCAGGAAACACAAAGCCAAGCCAAAGCCATCTAATTGACTCACTGTTGAAAAAATATACATTTCAAACACAATAGGAAGAAAAAAAAATGTTATCATAGTGTATATGTTTCAGCATAAATCTCCACAGGATGTTCTGGCAGCTCTGAGCAGTGTTTGTTTTTAGAAGTCCCACAGGTCGCTGGCAATGTGTTAAGTCCGTTAACACGGAAGGTCGTGAACCCTGCTCCCTCCAGTCCTTCTCAGCGACTAGCGACACAGATAGCTGGAGAAATGACAACTATCTGCATGCCAATACAAGGCAACAAGAGGTACAGATATTTTTAATGGAGTTCCGGATATGTCTAGTTAAAATCTCTGAAGGTCAAAGACCAAAGACCTGCTCTTAGAGCTGTTGGAGGTGTGCAATGTGGGATTAAACCAAAGGTGCTTGTTGAGAGTGCTTGTGAGCTGTTCTATCTCCTGTGCCTGGGCCCTGAAGTTCTGAAGTCCAGTGAGTAGAGGGCTGAGGCCAGGGCAGCATACAGGTGTGTGGCATTGAAGCACAGGCTGTAAACTGGACTGCTGGTGGTGGAGGTGAGCTGGAACATCTGAAATATTATATGGAACACATGGATAAGTACAAAATCGATTTGAATGGACAAAACGAAACAGTGTAGAAATATTTTCAGCACACAAATGCTCTCACCTGCAAACATCGAGTTTGCCTTTTGTCCCACAGACGCACCACTCCATAGTAGGAGGAGCCACTGGCGATCATGTGATTCTTATCGGTCTTGATACAGTAAAGTGCATTGTCATGGGGCTCCTCCCACTCCATCACACATTTTCTGTTAAGGAGGAAAATGATGTTTAATAAGCACACTTACATTGAGTTTGAGTTTACCTGAATTCTCTGCAATCCAAAACTTAAATAAACATAAAAGCATGGCTCACACTTAATCTCCAATGACCAAGCAAACTAAACGCTGGAACGGCATTCATCTTGTCAGTACAGTTCATATCACACTTCTTCGCCAGTTCCTTAGCTCAGGGCCAAAGCCACTGTGGCTGCCTCTCTGTGCAGCCTAAAGACAAGTGTCTTATTTAAATTGGCAAGGATGAAACCTCACATCACTTGTTTACGGAAAGGGGCTTTCTTGTTTTAATGCAGGCTGAGAATAGAGGTGGGAAGGTTAGGGAAAATATCTGCATGTGTGCTAGGCCAATAGAGATCAATTCTCCATTAATGGTGGCAATGAATAAATCATGGGGAGGGAGTGTGGCTGGGGTGTGCGGCAGACATCAGGGCAGCAGGAGCACACAGGAGATGTCTGGACACAGTCTCTGCAGGGCGTGTGCGCACCATGCGCACAGACTCACATACACACTCTTAACAATCAATTCTGACACCTCTCAACCCCTTACTGGCAGGATGTAAACAAATATGAACTGGGCACAGTTTCAAGAATGGGTAAAAAAGGAAGCAAGATAAAGGCTTTGGCATTTTGACAAATGATGACTGATTCCCTCTTCTTAATAGGCAAATAACTGTTACCAGACACTCTACCAAAGCGGCACAGCAGAAAATAACAGAGTATGGAGAATGAGAACGTGTGAGCAGAAACTAGGAGGTTTCCAAACTTGGAGTACAATGTGTCCAGAAAAAGGCCATAATTAGTGTAATAACAGTGACAATACAATACATTGTCATTGATTGTTTCACACTTGCGCCTGTCATTAGCAATTAACACGGAGTACGTTTTTAACTATCCTCTTTAGACTGAAGAGATGACGACCCACTCTGAGTCAGGACTGACCACATATTGGCCCCTGACTGGTCACACTGTGAATTATTGATATCTTAAGAGGGGACATTTGCCCCTCCCCAAACTCTCCAGGGCCCTCTTTCAATCACCTCTGATTTGTGTTACTTGACTGCCCATATGCGATTGTGTGGGCCCCCTCCCCACCCTCCCAAAGTCTGACACAGGGGCCCAGTCTGCCTCACAAGCAGCTCACTGATCCTCACAGCTCACCCCGTTGCCCTGGAGATGCACAGCGCCGCATCAATATGGCCACCGACTGGTGCAGGCTTGGGTGGGTTGGAGTCCTACAGCGAGAGTCCCTCTCAAAGAGGGGGTCCCTTTCAGTCGCCCACAGGAACAATTGTGTCCACAGAGCCAAGAGGAGACTCAGGCCTGGCTCCTTTTTTGTCTAAATGGTGCTCTATGCACAGGAGGGCTTATTAGATTAACTGAGAACACTAATCTTCCTCACAGGCTCTCAGAGAGAGACCCACTAACTTTATTACTCTCTGCGGACAAGCCTAGTTCTTCTGACGGCACAGTGCGCAGCAAGTCCAATTTAACCTGTGCAGCAGCCATGCAGTATTATTACTGTTTAAGGCCTGCTAATAACGGGACAAGGCCAGCAGTCAGCTGCAGTGTCACATTCAGACCTCAAAAGCAGATCAATCTACTTTTAAAGGAATACTCCTGCATTTTGCACCCTAATCTCTGTCTCTAGCAGTTTTGTTTACCACAGATTACAATTTCTTTGTACTTGTAATTCACATCACACTAATGACACATCTGTCCACTGGCTTCAGTTATAAGGGTGTTTCAATTCAAACTGTCAAACTTCTTCTGTTCTTTTTAGGGATATAGGGATATTCTTGATTGTCCCTGGTAATCAATGGTATCGAGAGAGATTAGATTGAAAAACACTGGAGTATTCCTTTAAGACAAGGGAGATTCCCTTCCCCTCCCTCCCCACGTACCTAGAGCAGACACGCAGATCCCAGTAGCGGATAAAGGTGTCATATCCACAGGTGAGGAGCTGGAAAGGAGACTCATAGACAATATCCAACACACCTGCACCTCTGCGGAACTCTGAGCCAAGACACGACACCAGGTGACACCTGGGAGAGAGGGAGGAGAAGAAAAAGCATGAAAAGTTATAGACTATTGCTTGTCAAACATCATGAAAGAAAGCGACAACATCAAAAAAATTACAGGGGGGAAGCTTCAAAGTGGGCACACTGGAGTCAATCCCCAAAACATGTTGTTAGAAAAAAAATGATTTCAAACTAGAGATGTTACTTTATACCTTAGCATTTGTTCAGTGTACTTGATTCATTTGTAAGGTTGTCTCAAGTTCTTATGTCTCAGTTAACACATTAGTGTGGACCAATTCATCAGTTGTCATTTCGGATCAAATGCCTTCATTTGCCCAGTTAATCTCTCATTACCTCTAAATCCCACTATATTCCCATATTCCCAACATGCATACACCACACAAAGGATAAATTAAGTCCTAGGTGATGGAGGGAAAAAAGTAAACACCAAGCTGAATGGCCTGAGAAAGAAGATTAGGAGTGGCACTAACCTCTTTTCTTAAATGTGTATGGGAGAGAAAAAGGAGGAGAAAGAAGAGAGGGACCGAGTAGGAGAAAGAGAGATAGAGAGGGGGGCTGCTGGTGGTGGTGTTGGGTGGGGGGGTGCCTGTGTTAGCACCACGCTCCTATGATCACAGGCTGAACAGGCCTGCTGCGCCCTCCTAGCCCCCAGCCCACACTGCAGAAACCAGATTATTGTAGAATAACAATTTCATTGTTGCCGTTTAATTCCCTCCATGACCGTGACTGTGTGCGACTTGTGGACCTTTGATACCTGGTCCCTAGCAACTATTTAGAGGAGCCCAATGGCCATAGCGACCGCCCCCCACGTTTGTGGACTCCTGTGAGCTTGTTCGCCAAGGGCAGACTGGTAATCCCCAACCTTCGCTCTGGGTGGACAGGGGGGTCTTATTAGACCCAGGCTCTTTAAAAGATAGGCCTCCAGAAACTAAAGGCAAAACCCCAGTGGGCCTAAAGACAAACTGCCCCCGTGGCCCATGGGTGTCTATGTTAAGCAAGAGCCCATCATTTACCTCTTACTGCTAAAACAGCAGCTTATCAACTACCTAGAACTGTAGCTAGAGCCAGGGACAATGGAAATAGTCAGCAGATGCCAAGAAAACAACTTACACTTCTCATTACAGTAATTCACATTGCATGGTTTTATGAACTGTTTAAAGAAAATGTGTAAACTCTGGTCAATACAGCGCATCCGGTGTCTGCCTGGCCCTCTGCAAATGTCAAAGCGTGAAGCGAGAAAAACAAGCGTCGTAAAAGAAGCCCTCACATCTGTGCTCTGATTTTAAAGCCAGTAATAGCACTGTTCCATGCAGAGGAGCAAACACCAGGATTCTTAAATTGTTAGGTCACAGGTTTTATGTGTGCCATTTTTTTTCTTGGGAGGACCTATGAAGATTACAGGATGGAGGATAACCATATAATCTTTCAAATTGCTGCATCTGCATGGCGGCCAGCCTTGTTCTTCCACAGCCAGCCCAACATCTGATCTGACAGCGTCACAAAGTATGTCGGGAAAGCTCTGAGAGCTCTGGAAATGTCAGGTGAAACCATACCTGGTTCTCCTAGCTGTATGATGACAGGGAAGAATGAGAATATGACTAAATAAGAGCTTTTGATTACGAAAGAAGGGCTTTAGTTTGCTGAAAAGGATGTCATTTTTAGGTCAAACACACTCCTACAGAGCTGTGACACAGCCTATGTTTTAAAAAGGTCAGTAGGTAGATGGTATAAACTAGTATTGGGACGATTTTTTACTGGTTTGATTATACAGGGTAGCAGAGAAAGCACATGAAATCAAAAAATATACCAGACCACGCTCTAGTGGTTTTACAACTAGCACAGCAGATCATCTCTCATAAACAGCAACAATCAACAGATTAGAAATCCATGGGTTCAACAGTGGCAGAATGAGACTCTTTATATTTCATTTTTTAACACCTCTGATGTAGTAATATATGTAGAAGACGTATGTCAGGGAAGGCTCTTTCTCTCTGCCTTTTGTACATTCACTTTTAGAGCAGCCAAGACAGGCAACTCCTCTGAACAAGCATAACCAAAGAGCATAGAGGATTAGGGCTTTATCATGTCTTATTTGACTGCTTTGTGCTGCTTGCTGGGGGAGACGTCTAATGTCCAGACTTGTGGGGGAGTTAAGAGGTCACACGCAGACAAGTTAGGGGCATTTGAGATGTGCAACCTGCTAAAGAGATCACACAGCCAAAATTACCACCAAATGCACTGAGACAAACTAAAGGGAAAATGCTTTATATTCTAGGCTCTTTTAAACCACTCCTCAGAGGCTGCTGACCTCAGCCTAATCCTCTTTGACCCCTAGATACGTTTAAGCCCAAGCCGCAAAGCAGTGAAACTCATCTTTATGTTTGTTATGTAAGGAACAGACTAATATACTAACATATTACTTTTGTTTCTATATGCCTTTCTTTACATTTGCTGAATACGCTAATAAAAGCAGGTGACAGGCGGTCCATCTGCTTTTATGTCCTGATATTGTACAAGAGCTGTTAAATACAAATTCTGGACTATAAAGAATGACATGTGTTAGTGATTAGTTGTGAGTTATAGTCTCAGGGCCATGAAGCAAAATGGAGGGGCTGGCCTCTTCAACAGTCCTTACTTTCTCTTTGGCCATTTGGGCCACACACACACACCTTATGAAAGGGACCTTTAATGAATTGATGGATTCTGAAAAGGGGAGAGGCTGAGGACATTTCTTTGGGTATTGGAGCCACAGAAAAGGTCATTTTGCACTGACGCTCTTGTAAGGTTAAGTATAGAGGGTAAACTGGCATAGGGAAGCTATGGGAAACAGTCAGTGCCCTGAAAGGATGTGAGACAGGTACATAAAGAGTCCTGCTGGGTTTTTCAGTGCCTAAAACAAACAGAAATTGCATTGCGCCGTCTGCTCGTCAGCCAATTTAGCCAAGAGTTGAAATAACCGCCAGCCAAGAGAGAACGAAAGAAAAAGAGAAAAAAAAAAAACCCAGCATGGAATGTCAGGGGGCAGGACAATGGAGACTTTTAAATGTCACACGCGTTCTCTTAAAAAACAATGAGATTGCAATTTGTAAAACACAGCTCCTGCCAGATCCAGACGTTTAACCCTCTCTTTCAGGGAAGAATGTGAGGAATTTCTGTGCAATTGTGTGTTTCTTTGATGGCTTTTCTCTGTGTTTATCCATGACCGAGGGCCTCATGAAAAGTTAGGGGTGCCTTTAAAGCACCACTTGTGTGGGAGTCGGGGTGATCACAGGCCTCTGGACCATACAGATGAGCAAGAAAGGGCAGGGACAAAAAGAAACATTTCCAGTCAAAGAAAAGATTTTGATTTTTTTCCTTATCTAAAACTGCATGGCAACCAGCACAATGCTGAGTAAAAACTGAATTGTATATCCTTAGAAATTGTGAACCCTGATTAAAATGTTGTTTTCTGATATCGAAGTCATTATGTATATGTTATATCGTGTTTGTTTTCAAAGTGAACATTTCTTTTGTTTTTAGTCACAGGATGGAAAAAAGAATGCGCCATGAATGACAGCAGGATCATCTGTGTCTCTCTCCCAGACAGTCTCTCTGTTGCTCACTCTTTCTGTCATACCTCTTCAGCCTGTTTCCCCACCAGCTGGTCAGCTGCGCTGTTCAGACATGAGGGTGCGAGTGATCTTGGCCTGTACATGCCTCCTGCATCATTCCCCTCTCTAGTCAACAGGCACTGTTCAAAAAAGGTGCCCCCATCTTTTGTGAACACATTAGAAAAACGTCAGGGGCACTTGTCTTACTCGTAAAGTGGTTCTTGAGGTAAGCAGATAAACAAAAGACAGGAAAACAAGATCTCTCATCGTTGTAATTGCCCTGCACACAACTGCTGTTGAACGCTCCTGATTGTTTAAACTCTTAAGAAAAAGGAAGTTGACCTCAATGTTAAATTGAACCTAAATGTTAAATACACGCTAATGAAATATGGATAGTCGCCGATGTGCATTTTCACTAATTTTGAAAAGTTCATTAACATATCAGATTATTCACGGATAGAAGGAAAAACAACTATTCTATAATAGATACAGAACAAAGAATAGAATAGAATTAACAAGTATTGGTGGTGTTTCTTGTTAAAATGGTGTGAATTTTTAAAATTTAGTAGGTAAGTATTCTCTCAAAAATGTCCAAAGTAAATTGTACATTGAATACAGCCTTTACAATGTGTAACTTGGACTGAATATTTAATTTCTCAATTCTGGAAACATATTCTGAAAATCATGTCTTTCGCAAAGCATTCACGTTCAGGCACTTGCATTTGAAGTAGCAAAGTAAAACATACTTGCAAATACGAGAACAACCATCAGTAACACTTTTTTTGGAGTGGTCCTTTGTAGATGATCAATAAACTCTTAACAGATTATCAGTTACACATCGACAACTTATCAGTGAGGTAGCAGCAGTGAAGCATCTGAATACATTGAAGTAAATATCTTGTTGATGTACGGTTGATAAATTATTTACATTAAGTAGATTTATCGTTAATATGTTACTTCCATTACACAAAACCTAACCTTACCCAACCTTACCCAAAACCTAATCCTAACACTAACCTTAACCTCAACCCAAAACCTAATCCTAAAACTCATATGTTTTTGACATTTTACTTGAGTGCGTGCTTCATCTAAAAGGACCACTCAAAATAAAGTGTCATCAAACCATCATGTTACACTGAACTGTTGGTTTGTATATTTTATCTGTATTCCTGTGATAAAATGTAACAAATACTAAAATAGTGATTTCAGTTTTGGAATATGGGCACAACAGTTAACCGAGTACCCAAGTAACTGTGCACATCCCTAATAGTCACCACTTGCAACGTTGCATGAGATTCCGCAAAGAGCTGAATAACAACACACAATGCCTTTAGCTGGTTACTGTTTTGATAAGGCATAGACTACTTGTTACTTATTTGAAAGCCAGAAATGCATGCAGTATCATATTTAGAAAAACCTCTGAATGACCCAGGTTTGTTGTCACCAAAGTTTCTAAATTTAGAACAGCCCTGTCACAATTATGCATGGATGTTTAAGAGTGTGGTGACATTTAATTTGAGGGATGTCTTTGAGCAGGTTTTCTGTGGAGAGTGATCACACTTATTTTTGCCATGCCACAACTGCTTTAGAAGAACCAGAAGCTTTTTCGCTGGAACAACATTGTTTTTTGCTCTGCCCAGTTTGCAACTGTCTTGCTGTGGACAGGGTGTTGAAACATGTCAGAAAGATTATAATAAAGCAAGCCTTGATAAAACTTAAAACTGTTAAAAACTATGTGATGTTTTGACAACAGCTATCACCTGTCTGTGTTGTGACCAACAGGCTGTAATAGTGTTTGCGATGCCTGCTCTGATGTCTGCCTTTATCATTGCAACTGTAGCCATCCTAATGTGTTGTTTCATGTCGGTAGTGGCTGTCTGAGGATTATGCAGGTGGTCTGTCTGGGAAATGTTTAAAAAGGGATTCGCAGAAACACATACACATACACATGCATGCACACAGACACACACAGTGCCCCCATTCCACCACCCCTCCACTCATGTCTGTTTTCTCGACCCCCTTGTGACTGGTGGCATTGTACTCTTTACAAGGTGCACTTGATTACCAGACGGGACACATCATGGTAAGACACTTCTAACCCCAATGCAGCAGCACAAAGATGAGAAGAAAAATAATAAGACGCAGTGTCAGACAGGTCATGGAGACCATATTTGCAAAACATGCACCCAAACACACAAACGAAAACCAAAAAATAGCCATATTGTCAGAACATCCAAAACATGTCAGTATGTAAGTGGAGTCACTTCTGTGTCTGTCACATCCCTCTGTCTACAACTCAGCCTGACAGGGCCTCAGTAGTTATGTGCAGTGCAGCAAAGCTGGCTCAGTGGCTTACAGCTCTCTTAACTTATATGGATAAAATCAGCCTGCAGACAGCGACCCAGCTAACGTCCATCAGCCGGACACCAACTAGCTATGCTTCACAGATCAAAACTCAGGTCCTGTCCTTTGCTCACCTAATTCCTGGCCAAATTTTCTATTTCTCCTCCTTCTTTGTAATATGTGATTCCCAGGGTTATGCATGCTGAATTGCTCCTCCTCCTTCCCAGCAATCTCTCCCTTCTCAAATTTCCTTGTCATTTGGTGCCGGAACCCACCTTTTTTTCTTTTTCCTTCTTAATTTTCCTTTCCCTAGACTGACAATGTGTAAGTAGGCTGAATTCTGCAGGTAAAGCAGGGGAATTACAGAAGCCAGTCAGGTTGTATCAGGTTTAAGCCAGGCCTTTCATGATGGGAATTCAGAAGTCAGCTTTGAACTTCCCAAAAAGCCCAGTAAGGGAGCTGAGAGGATAATGAACAACAACTATCATTACGATAACTTTCAGCTTTTACCTGTGTGTGATCAATTAACGTTACAAATGGAGAAGGATCTGGGGACTTAACACTCGTCATGGGTCTGAATGTTTTAAGGTCTTTGAAGCTGACAACACATAGACATTGTAAACTAGAAAACTTTTAAACTTTGTGCATTTAAATTAATTCTAGCATAAGCTTTAACAGTAATATATGAACACAAACTTAGAGGTGGCAAACATTTTCAGGATATTTATTTTTTCAGACGTCTAATCAGTTGGAACAGAGAAAAAAAAGAACTAGTAGTGCTACATGTAAAAAAATTACTATCAAAAACTGTGAGCGCGATGATTTTTATTCAATATTTGATGTACCGTGTTTCAGTTAAATGGATTTTGCTCTCTTTATAATGAAATACACAGTTTCTGAGTGTTCTACATGTAATGATGATATGTATTGTATTGTGACATATTTTATCAAATAACCATATATATTGTCATACTGTCCTGTCTTACACATACTGTGTTTTTAATTACAGTGACAGGTTAGATGACAGAGATATTACACAGTTTAGTAGTCAGGTACCTCTCTGTGTCCCATATCCGAAGAGGGGCAAAGTTTTCACAGCATGCAGTTCCAGTCACAAAGGTGCTGTTGAGAGAGATAGACAAAGAGTTACTTAATGAGTTAATACTATCAACCAGCCACATATCTGCACACTTTAAAACATCAAGTGAACAGACAAAAAAGACAGGTTCTCACATTCATCAGAACCTTTAGGAATATACTGGAAATTCACTACATTTTTGTGGTTAAGTGTCTTGAGCATTGCTTCCCTTCTTTAAAGAAACAGAGGAGGCCATTTTAACCATTAAATGCTCTTGAAGCCTACAGTGTAGTACAAAAAGTAAGGGATGGGATGGTATGAACATTTCCTAGCATAATGATATTTTTTATCAAAGTATTGTTAAAAATGTACTAAAAGTCTTCAAAATGCACCAATACATGATAAATGGATTTAACTGCAGGTTTTGTATTTCTTTCTAACAAAACACAATATAATTATTAAACTATCACTGGCACTACTACTGTTCATTGTTCAGATTATTACTGCAGTGGGGTTCAGAAGTCTGAGATTGATAGTGAAAAGCTTCTATTTGGCATTGTTTTCTAATTTAAAACAACAATTTTCATTACAAATGATATCAGCACAACAATCTGAGTGAAAAGCAGAATCTTTGAAATTTTATTTTGTATGTCTCTCTTTTGCTTCAATGACAAATTTAAGCTAAAGCCTCTGATGAGTAGATCAAATCCACCTGACTGTTGTCTGAACACATGCGTCAAAGAAAGGAATGAGACTCAAACTGACCATATTGTACAGACCTTCACATGGTCAGTGTCACAAATTTACTATCATCTGAATAGTGACCTAGAAACAGAGCATTTCTTCTTCATTTTGCTTGTTGTTGTAACTTTTCTATTGTTTATTTCCAGGTTTAAATGAAACAAAAATCCCAGATTTTCAATATGGTCTAAGACTTTTGGTCCCCACTGTATGTACATATGCATGGTCCTGAATTATTAAAAAATGAAAAGATTATGATTATCACTGTTTCCTAAGCTGTGGTATATCACTAAAACCGGCAATCATCACACATAACAACTTAAAAGTAACTTTAAAAGGAGTGAGCAGAGTATAGGAAGGTGTAAGAGTGCTTGAGTGGTAAGTTAAGACTGTCAACTTTGTTCCAAGATGTGCATTCACTCACCGCGATGCTGGGGGGTGGCTAAGTAAGAGAAACAAAAACACTTTGGTGCCCCCTTTGATTTGGATGACAGGTGAAAATTAGTTGGAACAGGTAGGGAGGAGTATGTTAGGAGGGTGTGTGTGTGTGTGTGCATGTGTGTGTGCACCATGGTTTTGACCTGCCTGATAGTTAGGGATTAGGGCCCTCCTGGACAGCTGGGATTGGCAGGCGAGGCTCCAGGCCTCCGCCGCTCCCTGCATTGTGTGCAGAGGTGAGCTGCACAATGGGACTCCCACAATACTGAGCATGCTGGAATGTGGTGGCTTTAGCGCACAGGTATTCCTACAATGTCCTGCTGGGATGGGTTCTTCCCCCCCATATCCCAATTTGCTTCTTAGTCTTATTGCCAACTAAATGAAGACAAAGGGCAGTCTGTGTGTGTGTGTGTGTCTTATTTGGTCTCTGAAAGCCTGAAGTTAATGTGGGCCTAATATAAATTTGCCTAAAACCTAACATGTATCAGACTGGAGAGGACACACAAAAACACACTGCCTATAATAAATCACAAAGCCTCTTAGAAGCTCTCTTTCTTTCTAACATACTTTCATACCTCAAGAGAACACCCGAGCAGTGGGCTCTCCGCCCCCACGCCAAAGAAACAGGCTCCACAATGGAATACCAGTGTGGCCTCAAATTAACAGCCAGCCTGTGTGAATAAGCTCTGTAGCGCCTGGGGTCCAACTCCAAACCCCAAGCACAAAAACAGAGAGAGAGACAGTGACCCTACACCACAGTCAGTGAGAACTGAAGGAGGAGGCGAGCAGGATTTGAATGATGCCTTTTACACTTCGGTCCCAATAAGACAAGGGCTACAGCGAACCATCCGAAATGAGGGCATCCAAAGTAGGACATTTCTACTTCTGAGAAAGATAAGGAAAGTTCAGAAAGGCAAGAACAAAAAACTACATTCTGAGAAAATTCGTTCACCTAAATGCGAAGATATGGACTTGGTGGGACAGAATTACAGACATCACATCCATTCTGAAACCTGTGCTAATCTAAGATGCATAATATGAGAGCCATTCACAAAAGAGGAAAGAGATGGTGCGTAGAAGAGAGGGAACCAGCGTTCCTCCCTCTGATGGCTTCGGTTAGTTTCTTCATTGAAGGCCCAAGCGTATTGGCAAAGACAGCCATGGCAGCTGTCAACCCGGTTAGCGGCGGCCCATCAACCATATTCAGCTTGCTGGGCCAGTGCTGGCATTTTAATTACTGTTGGGTAAACTCATTTGCCCCAGTGAAGGCCGTGTGTCCTAATAGAATATGCAGGCTGCCTGACCTCTGAACCTGTGTGACACAAGATACAATAGGGGCAAAGCCAAGCTCTCTCTTCCCAGCCCTTATTACTCTCTATTACTTCAATTACTCATCCCTCACTGAGTCTGATTGTGAAAAAAAATCACAAGGGAGAGAGAGAACTGGAGAAAAACAGAACACCACGATTAAATACATTTTTGTCCTCCAGACAAGTTCTGACTGATCTAAAAGGGAGTCCCAGTGATATTATAGCTGTAAAAGGTCAAAGCCTCTCTCTCGCCTAATGTGCCCCCACCCTTTTCCTGACCTTACACTCATCCCACCCCAAACCGAAGAGTAAGCACAGTCTCCGAGCCCCCTGACACCCCTTTGCCCGTCGCTACACCCTGCAAGCGACCCCCCCCCCAACCTAACTACTCCTCTAACCCAAAAAACACAGAGTGCCTCAAGATCATTAGAACATGTCGGGGGTTCACTGCCAACACAACCATTTTGGTAACCTAATCAGCTGACATCATTATTCGAGGTACTGTGTAGCATGAAATTAGTGCTGGGGTCACACAAACTTTAATTCAGCCCCTGCTGGGAGAAGAACTCCAACAGTAACAACATTGTTAGGGCCAAATCAACACAACCAACCACACGTATCAGATCAAGACCATTGCAAAAGTTTAGGATACATTTTGCAGAGACCACAAGAAATGTGCAGTGTTCATAACAGAAACTTCACACCCTGTTTTAGGGAGCATGTATTACTGTGACAATCATATCAAAGACTTCTGACACAACTGAAAATAGATGTAAGGCACTCAGAGTACAATCTGAGTAGATTAACAATTATATAATTTTCATTAAGTGATTTTACAGACAAGTAATTTTTGAGACTTTAATAGTGAAATAAATGCAAGCTGCAATGATAAGAGCGTGCAATAAAAATGGATAATTAAATAATAATAAAAAAACAAATAATGAAACAAAATGAAAACATCCCCATGACATACATGCGGTGCTGTGGAACAATTAGATCTGTTCAGTAAGCATTTATTTTCCAAGAAAAACACTAATATTAAATAAATATAATTAAATATAATAAACATGAACAGCATTAATACAATAAGCAGTGATTTTAATGTATGTCAATGGTTTAATTAAACCATTTCTGAACCTACTCTCATGGCAACTCAGTATTATTTGTAGGTATCATTCAATACCTGGTCTGGCTAATTAATACTCCATTAAGTTAAATCAAGTGTGTTAGTGTTGGAATTTAACAAATTCATGTGATTGCTTGAGGCATCAAAGAGAAATCTGGAACCAAACACTGTTCTTCAACTAGCTTGCAAGACATCAACTACATTTTTAAAATTCTTGTTACATTTTACTGTATTTGTTTATTTCAATTTATTCTATTACATATGATAATTTTATAAGCAACAACTAATGTACTGCGAAGATAAATGTCTTTAAATAATAAGCTTAGACACCGAAGACTTTTCATAGTACTGCAGGTTCTTAACATAACATATATGCACTGAGTAAAACATTACTTGAAAAAACAATGTAATCTACAAATAAGTAATGTTAATAACACAACAGTTTATTAACAGTTTAATTCACAGCCAGACAAAATCAGAATAAAAACTGAACTGCCAGATATTTAATTTTTTGGTATTAAAACAAATCTACAGTTTAACTACTGAAATCCTAAGTTTATTATATCCTAAGCCTTATGATTCAGGTATTATGTGGAAAACAGTGCAAACCAACCTATGTTAACTTCATGTTATGGGAGTGAGGAATGGAAACTTGGACCTGTCAGCAAGACCTGGGCATCTAAAAGGTTAATATTAGCAGGAAATATTAATTTAACTCCTTAAAATGTAAGATAATTGTATGTGGCCCACATATCAATTTTTTACTCTTATAACTACATATCATAAATTTAACAGTAGTTGCCAAATAATTTATTGTAGTTACTGAATAACATGCCTGTAGTTTATGGCGTTAACTCATCACAGAATCAAACCATGTCTTGGTCCATGTAGATGAATAGAAACACAGGGGTACAAATAGGAGTTCAAAGCGAGTATAAACCCAGCACATCAGCCTAGCACAGGGCTAGCTCTGGGCCAGGAGGAGGTTGTTCATTTGTTATGGTTGACCCCTGGCTTTGTAAAAGGGGATGTATCTAGTTTGTAAAAGTGCTTTCATCTCGGCCTCTAAATATGTTCGAATTGAAAAGGGTTATGATGTATTTATATTGCTCTGAAAGGGACAATAGGCAGGGTCCCTTGCTCTTTCTCTCTCTCGCCCTCTCTGTGTCTGCGCTCCAACCCTCTCCCCCCTACTTCAACTCACACCCGAGTTCACAGACCTTTTGGCTTTCTGTCCGTGTCCCCTGTGTCTGAGGTCAGAGGAACATTCCACACACCGCCTTTTGCTTAGCTGGGTGGAACAGCCCCAGATCAGTTTGGACAAAAATACAACTGAAGATTCATGAGAATCCTTACAGCCAGTTACACACACACTGCTCCAGGACATCAGTCACCTGTCTCATTATATCTCATTATGACACATGCAAGG